GCTCACACCACAGCCCTGCCCCACTGACCACCTGGGGCTGCAGAGAGACCCTGCCAAGGGTCATTCACAGCTTCAGCCACTGCAAGAACAGCTCTGAGACAGCTTAGGAAATATAAAAATACATCAACATTTATTTTACCCGTGAGTCCAGTCCCTGCTGGGCCAGGGACACAGTCCCTGCTGGTTCCAGGCTTGTGGAAGTTTTGGCACACAGGGATTTAACTGTGCTGGAGGAAGCATCTCCAAAACCCCATGACCCACCTGGGACCACTGCAACATCCCTCCCGTGGCACCAAGCTCCCACCAGGGTCATGCTCTGAGCTGGCAGCAGCCTGGGGGCCCAGAACAGCCCAACAGGAGGGATGTGGTGCAGGAGATGGGGAATTCCTGCTGAACAAAAGGTGCCTGTGGTCTCCAGGGAAGGAAAGCCCTGGCTGGGCTCTTCCCACAGCACCACCATCCTGATTTAAGGATACAGCAGGCAGTTCATTCTCCTGAACAAGCACAGCCCTGGTGTAAGAGCAATTTGTTCTGGTGTGAGTGACAGCACAGAGCAGCCAGCCCCTCCTGAGGTCAAATACAGCAGGATTTGTCCCTTAGAGAAAGAATTGCTTTTTGCCCCATCCCCTGTGTTTCTTTGGGAATTTTTTAGCAGGTTCCTTGGAGGCTGACAGCCCAACCCAGGGAATACTGGTGCCCTGTCAGAGCTCTCCTGCCTCAGCAGCAATATTGTCACTTTGGTCTCCTAAAACCACAGATTCAGAGAAGCTGCATCTTGGTCTCCATCCCCTCCCAGTCAATCTGTTCCTTCTTCCTAAAAGGATGAACTCCAAAAGGGATCATTACACTCAACACAGTGAAATTTAGGATTGAAGAGCATCTGGCCATGCTCAAAACCTGTGTTTAACCCCCTTCCCCACCCCCCTGTGACATCCAGTCACTACCCAAAGCCCCAGATTTGTTCCCAGTGCTCCCTCCTCCCTGCTGCTCCTCAGTCATACTGCAGCAGGGAGTGGAAAGGGATGGAATTCAGCTTTTCCGACCCTTTCAGGCCTTTTAACTCTATGATCACCAGGCACTCTAGGATTTCAGCCTTCAGCCTCTTCAGCAGCTCGCAGGCAGCACCCATGGTACCTGTGGAGGGGAGCAGAAACATCCTCACTCCGGGGGCAGCTCCAGCCCACAGCCACCCCTGCTGCTGCCAGCTGAGGTACCAGAGAGGTGTGGGTACCCCTGGCAGTGCCCAAGGCCAGGCTGGATGGGCTTGGAGCAACCTGGGCTAGTGGGAGGTGTGCCTGCCATGGCAGGGGTGGCACTGGAAGGGATTTATCCAACCCAGCCACTCCATGATTCCATGCACACAGGACCACACGTGCTTCCCTCACCTCCAGTTGCCAGCAGGTCATCCACAATCACCACTTTCTGTCCTGGTTCCAGAGCATCGCTCTGGATTTCCAGCTCAGCCTGCAGGGAGCAAAGAGCAGCTTTGTTTTACTCTGGCCTTGGAGAGAAGCCCCTCACGAGCTGCTGGTTCATGCTGGAACACAGACAAGTCCTCAGCGACATCAGCCTAAACACCCAGCACCTAAAATCCCAAAAACCCCACAAATTCCAGCTACAGGAGAGCGCTACAGAAACACAGAGCAGGGAGGGGATTGCTGGGCCAGCCCTCTGGCACACCAAGATCCTGAAAATTTCATGGTGTGAGTTATGGTGGAATCTTATCCCAGAGCAGCTCTGCAGTGAGGAAAATCTGTCACGCACTGGGGGGCTCTGCCTAGAGCCAGATCCAAACTGGCACCTGTTTGGATGTGCCACGGCTGGCCCAAACAACCCTCATGGCTTAGGCCTGGCTTAGGGGGTTCTGCTGCTGTTAGTTGCTGGTGGGAGCAGCACAGGCAGAGGCCCAGCCCCGGAGCAGCCGCGGGGTACGGGGCGGGACGGGGGAAGCCATGCGGGACAGCTCTGACTTACAGCACTTACTGCCAGAGTGGGGGACACTCTCCGTGGTCATGCCCCTGAATTCAAGCCAAAGAAAGCCGTTTAGCACCGGGTCTGAGCACCAACCCCCCGAGAAGAATCAGGGCACAGCACCAAACATCACCCGTGGGCACGAACGGAGCGACCGCGGCTCGGGGCCGCTCCCGGGGCTTGTGCCGGATTATCCACACACCAGAACCCACCCTGGGACCCCCTCCCCGTGGGTTTACCCCCCTGGCCCCCCCAGGCCTTGCCTTGCCGTATTCCAGGCTGTAGGAGATGGACTGGGTGGCTCCAGGCAGTTTTCCCTTCTTCCTCACGGGCACGAAGCCGATGCCCAGGCGCTGCGCCAGCGGGGTCCCGATCAGGAACCCCCGTGAGTCCAGCCCTGGGGCACAGCAGAACCAGGCACTCAGGGAATCATTCACCTTGGACAAGGCCTCCAGACCACCAAGTCCAAGCATTTCCCAGCACTGAGCCATGTCCCCAAGTGCCACATCCACACAATTTTTGGAATGGTGACTCCACTACTGCCCTGTGCCAACAGCTGATCGCCCTCTCAGTGAATTGATTTTCCCTCATATCCAACCTAAACCCCCCCAGGTGCAACTTGAGGCATTTTCCTCTTGTCCCATCGCTCAGATCAGAGCCATTCCTCTAGGGGAGGGTCTTGGCACAACCCCCCTGTTTTATCCTCCCATTCTAAAAGCAATTTGCTCTTCAAGTCACTTCTGAGGGTTGAAAACACAGCCCATACTCCTGTTCTCACCCACATGTGCTGCTGCTGGCCCCAAGAGCCCACTCCCCTCCCCTCTGACCCTTTTCCTTGGAGATAAAGCCAGCAGGGCCCTGGTATCAGTCCAGCCACAGAGCAGAACTCTGCACCTCTGGGCAGCCTTCACTGATCTCACCTGGGCCAGGTTTGGTCTGTGCCCCCCTGGCTGTGGCCCAGCCCAAGCTCTGCCCTCCTCACACTTTGCCAGGTGAGCTGAGGTGCCCTGGCCACCAAGGCCGTTTGTGCTGGCCTGGAAAAGCTCCCTGAGGAAAACCAGCTGGGGCAGGGTCAGCCTGCCCTGGGGACAGCGTGGGGACACTGCGGGCACAGCAGGCTTTGTGTGCCCCCTCCTCTTTAACACAGAATTATGCAACTGGCACGGAAGTGTCAGAGGGCACCTGCCACATCCCACGCCAGCATTTCAGGAAATCACAGCAGGAGGCAAAGGGTACAATCTGTCCTGGTGTTACCATGTCACAGAGGCCAATGTTCAGGTGATTTTTGTGTCCAAGGGCCACCCCACACTTCCCACCCGGGACCCACTGCTCTGCCCTGGCCTCGGGGCTGTCCAACCAACACTCACCCACAATGAAGTCGATTTTCGGGAAAGACGCCCTCACATGATCCTCCAGAAGATCGATCAAAGTCCTGAAGGCCACAGGATCCTTCAGCAAGGGGCTGATATCGCTGCAGTGAGGGAGGGCAGCGGGTGAGGGGCTGCTCTGGAAATGCTGAGCTCCTGAGCCTTGGCAGGTTCCTGGGCCCGGGAAATGCTCCTGAGCCCAGGGAAGGCTCCCGAGCCCGGGGAAGGCTCCAGGGCCCGGGGAAGGCTCCTGCCCGGTGCTGCCAGGGCAAGGGATGGGCAGCGGGCACAGGAGCTGGCAGCGAGTCCCCGGCCCGGCTCCAGCCCTGGTCCCCTCCCCAGTTCCAGCCCTGCTCCATCCCGGCCCCATTCCCATCCCCTGTCCCGGTTCCAACCCCCGTTCCGGCTCCAAGCTCGGCCCTGGTTCCCTCCCCGACCCCATCCCCGTCCCCACCTCCATCCCGTTCCCGCCCGTGCCCGTGCCCGTGCCCGTGCCCACCGGAACAGCACGCCGGGCTCCGGGAAGTCCGGGAAGGGCCGCACGCGGTCGCGCACCGTCCGCAGCCGCTCGTCGCTCATGGCGGCCCCGCCGCGCAGCCGCCGCAGCTCCGGGCGGGCCGGGAGGGACGGNCCCGGGGCGGCACCGGGGCGGGCCGGCACCCGGGCACGGGGCGTGGGGCACCGCTGGGCACGGAGCGTCCGGCCGCCCGGGTTTGGGGCTCCGGTACCCCGGGGCACTGAGCTCCAGGCCCCCCGGTATTTGGAGTTCCAGTATCCCGGGACATTGAGCTTCCATCCCCCCAGTATTTGGAGTTCCAGTATCCCGGGACATGGAGCATCCATCCCTCCGGTGTTTGGAGTTTTGGTATTCCGGAGTGTGGAGCTCTGCTATCCTGGAGCATTGAGTATCCATCCCCCCGGTATTTGGGGCTCTGGTACCCCCGGGGTGTAGAGCTCCAATATCCCGGGGCACTGAGCCCCAGTCCCCCCCATATTTGGAGTTCCAGTACTCCGGAGTGTGGAGCTCTGGTATCCTGGAGCATTGAGTATCCATCCCCCCGGTATTTGGGGTCTGGTACCCCAGGGCATTGAGCCCCAGTCCCCCCGGTATTCAGAGCTCTGGTATGCTGGAGCATGGAGCATCAGCCCCCGGGCACACAGAGCTCTGGTATCCCTGTGCACAGAGCCCCAAATTCCCAGTGCATGGAAGTCTGATACTCCAGACATGGAGCCATCCCAGAGCCCCCAGCCCCCCAGGAAGGTCTGGTACCCCAGGACACAAGGCAGCGATACCTCTGGTGTGTGGAGCTCTGACACTCCCTGCACAGAGCCCAAATCCCCCCGTGCATGGAGCCCTGGCTCCTTGGCACATGGAGCTGCAATTCCCAGGGGCATGGAGCCCTGGCTCCTTGGCACATGGAGCTGCAATTCCCAGGGACATGGAGCCCTGGCTCCTTGGCACATGCAGCTGCAATTCCCAGGGACATGGAGCCGCAATTCCCAGGGACATGGAGCCCTGGCTCCTTGGCACATGCAGCTGCAATTCCCAGGGACATGGAACTCTGATAATCCTGGTGCATGGAGCTGCAATTCCCAGGGGCATGGAGCCCTGGCTCCTTGGCACATGGAGCTGCAATTCCCAGGGGCATGGACCCCTGGCACATGGAGCTGCAGTTCCCAGGGGCATGGAACCCTGGCACAGCAGTGGTTGGAGCCCCAGGCTCCCCTCTGAAGAGCTCCCAGGTACCTGCTCCGTGTGGAGCTGGATTTCCCTGTCTGTCCCCAGCCTCAGAACGGAGCTCCCTGCCTGGCGGCTCCATTTCCACCCCCTCGCCCTGCCCAGCCTTCCACAGACAGCAAACTCCTCAGGAGTTCACTGTTTCCTGCTTTTCCATCCCTCATCACCTCGTGTGAACTCCTGGAGTCGTTCTGTGTTTGTTAAACGTGTTGGTTGGGATGAGGGACAATAACACAGCCCCAGGTCCTGGACCAACAGCTCCTGGTGTCACTGAGCCCTGGGCAGGGCAGGGAGCTCCCACAGCTCCCACCTCCCATCTCCTGGTGGTGAATGTTGTTTGGCCATGCGAAATCCACCAAATGGGTTCAGATCTCCTCTTCCATTAGCAAATACACCTTGGCTCTGCCCCAGAGCCGTCCGGGCACGGCTCGCTGTGGAAAGCAGAAGCAGTTGGAGCCTGTAACACCCCTGGCTGAGCTCAGTGTTTGCTGCCCAGAGCTGTGACTGGGAAAACTTCACCCACACCCTCTGGAGAGCCCTTGCCATGGCAGGGACACCTTCCACTAGCCCAGGCTGCACCTGGCCTTGAACACTGCCATTGATCCAGGGCCTGCCCACCCTCACAGGGAGGAATTTCTCCCTAATATCCCATGTAACCCTGCCCTCTGGAAAAGCCATTCCCCCTTACCCTGGCCCTTGTCCCCAGTCCCTCTCCAGCTCTCTCAGAACCCCTCCAGGCACTGGAAAGAGCCCTCGGGTCCCCCTGCATCCTGCTCTTCCCCAGGCTGCACAATCCCAACTCCCGTTAAGGTTAACTCTGCTGCCAGAGACAGCCCGTGCTCCCTTCACAGCCATTCCCCCACAAACTAAGATTTTCCCTGAACTCAGATTATCTCTTTGGTACCAGAAGAATCCTTTTGGGCAGCTGTTGCAGGGCAGCAGAGGGGGAAGGCCAGGGTCTGCCAGGGGAACCAGGGCTCGCAGGGCTCACACTCCCTGTGAGGAGCTGGACGGGTTCCTCTGGTGACCTTACAAGCACAGCACTGGACAATGAGCTGTTCCAGCAACTCCTCTTCTTCCTGGCAGATGGAATTGCTGATGGAATTTATCTGCCTACTCGTGGAAATAAATAAGCAAGAGCTTATTTCCTGGGAAAAGGGATCTTTTCAGCCTGCCAGGCAGCTCTCGCTAACGAAGGGGCCAGAACGAGGGGTCTGTGTCACCCCTGTGACCCCCCCACCATCCCACCCTCACTGCAGGAGACTCCACCACATTTTCCTGGAGGCTGAGTGAGGTTCCCAGGCCCCTCAATCCAACCAAGCCCTGGCAAACCTTCAGCAGGATGGGCTGCTGCGTGCCCCCACTGCTCCACCCCACAGCCAGGGATCTCTGCTCCTCCTCCTCCTCGGATGTGGGATCAGTCTGTCCCCATCAGTTCTGCCTGGAAGGGCACAAAGGTTGCACCAAACTGGACTTGCAGTGACTCAGCTGCCAGAAATCATGGTTAAAAGACAACATTCCTGAGATTCCTGTCTGAACTCCTCGTTTATCCCCCATCTCCAAGGATTCCAACTGCACCCACCAGCACAGACTGGACTGGAACACCCCAAGGAAATCAGTTTTCCCTGTGATCGTTCCACCTTTCAAACAACACCGCTGCCTCCTACTGCAATTTCCATCTGCAAAGAACTTTCCTAGGACCCCTTTCCAAATGTGATGTCAAAGGGCTCTGGAATATCAGCCGGGAGGTGACTCCACATCCGCCCGTGGCTCAGGGCTGCCTGGCAGAGGAATCACCACCTGGAATCTGCATTCCCCCACGGAACTCTGGGTTTGCTCTTTTCTGGACAGCGAGGCCATCAGTGATTTAAAAGTGCTTTGAGGTCCTGATGGGAGAGGTGTTGTTAGCCAGGGAGCACAGGAACTGGGAATACAAAAGCTTGGGAACTAACTTTAATCAGCTTAACCAGGCAATTAAAGAGCTGCGCTGAGCCTGGAAGTTCCTGTTCTGTTCAGGATTTTAACACCTCAGTGTGAAGGGGAACAAAATGCCCCAAATTTCAACATCCCCCTTCCACGAGGGAAAACGAGCAGAAAAATTTCCCTGCAAATCCACTGGAATGTTTCAATCTCAGCTGAGGAAACTCATGCACTTTAAACCCCTAAAAAAAAAAAAAAACCACCAACAAAAAAAACCACCAACACAAATTTAAAATATCTTATTTCAACACCAGAAGAATGCAGCTCCCCAGCCAGATCCCTGGGCTCAGGATGGAAGCCTCAGACCTGGTTTTGTCCCCCTAAGAGAGGGAAATACGTGGTGATCCAGCTCTGGCTCCCCGGGAGCCCAAGGCAGCACTCCTGCCTGCTGCAGCAGGTTGGATCAGGCCCTTGGAGAAGACACAAAACTCCTCTCTCTGCCCTGGCCAGCCTGGGTTTTGTGTCTGATCCAGAACTAATGGATTTGGCTTGCATTCCTCGCTGCTGGCTTTTATCTGCTCTCCCTTTCAGCTGGGAATTGTGCTACCAACCTCCTGTCACCCAGAGGATGTTAAGTGACTCCAAGAGGGACAAAGGCCTGCAGAGCTGCCAGATTGCCTCTCTGCAGAAGCTGGAAGGCAGAGGTTTTTTCTCCCTCCTAAAAGACCGCAAGCTTCTGGCTACGGATCCACCTTTATTTAGGATTTATATAATCCCAACTAGGCTTCAAGCAACAACAAAACTTTAAACGGTGGAAGGGGATATAAAGGAGACAGGCAAATGGAGCCTTGGTGTTTAAAATAGCCATTTTCCACAGGAGAAAAGAACCCAAAATGGGATTTCAGTTCTTCCCTTACAGCTGTTCTTAATACCTGACAGTTTAATTCAAGGGGCACCACAGTGTCGCCTCCTGATAACACAGAAAAACATCCAGTGCTACCAGAAAACAAAAGGAAAAGTCGATTTCCAAGTATTCTAACTGCTAGGGGAGATGGAAAACAGGCCATTCAAACTGCAGAACAGTTATTTGGAAGCTGAACAAGCAAAGGAACTCTTAGGAGAATAAAAGTGTGTTTAGTTTGTAAAGTTTCCCAGTGCTGAGGAGCAGGGCAGGATCCCCGGGGAGGGATTTCTCTGCTGGCTGTGCTCCAGAGGCTGCTGGGGACTCTGCAGCCAAAAATCACCTCCCAGCACCCCAAACCTTCCTCCCTTCAGTTCTCACCTTCCATGGGTCCTTCCTCAGCTGCTGGAATGCTTTCCTGGGGTTATTTCAAAGCTGTTGTCACTGGGGAAAATAAGAGTGTCCAACCTTGAGGAGATCCCTTATGTGAAACAGGAATTTTGGGACGCTGTCCATGATGTCTGGGAAGGGCTGGAGGTGACAGGGATGGGAGCTGCCACTGCCACCACTGTCCCAAGTCCCACAGCCTCCTTCTTGGAGACATCAGTTCCACTTCTTTTAGTCAAATCCCACTGTCACTGCCCCAGAACAGCCCCCAGGTTTTACCAGCAAATCCATGGATCTCACTTCCCTTGCTCCAGAGTTCTCCATCTTCCCTTGGCCACATTCCTGAGGCCCCCTTGGCCAGGCAGGGCCCTGTTCTGCTCGCTGCTGCACTCAGGGCAGTTTGCAGGGCATTAACCTTGCCTCTAAGTGTTGGGAATTGATCTGCTGCTTCCCAGTTCCAGCATTCAGCTCCCCAAATTGCTGGTCCCCAGGGACTAATTTGCCACAGAAATAATCCATTTGTCGCTGCAGGATTTGAAATCAAGGCTCCAGTGCTGCAGCCCGAGGCTGGAAGTGCAGCCCCAGCTCCTCCACGATTATTAGTTCCATCCATTTCAGAAGCTTCTCTGCACCGAGGGTGGGATGATAACAGAGCCTCAGGGGCAGAGCTGGGAGGCTTGAGAGGCTCAGCTAATTGGAAATTAAAGGCAAGAAAGAAATTCTTTGGACTCTTAGGGCAGGAAGAGATTGAGCTTTTAGCGTTCAGCATAATAAACAGAAAGAAAGGAACATCTCAGCCCCAAACTGCAGCACTCCTCTGGCATTTCTGTCTCATAGCTCCAGAGCAGGAGCCACCACCAGAGCAGTTGGGCTGCTGCAGGTGCCTGAGTGGGCAGGAAATCCCTCCTGCCCCAGTTCCAAACTGGGAAGGCTCAGGGCAGCAGCTCAGGGTGGTTTTTAGGGGCAGATGTGGCCACTTTGTGCCCCAGCTGGGCAGTGAGGGCTGCAGGCACCATCCCCACCCTGTGCTGGCCCTGGGTCCCCCCAGCCTCTGAACTGCACTGTCTGGGCTGGGAGATTGATCTGGGTAAAAATAATTCCAGGAAAACAAACCAAGTTATTTTTTAACCCCAGTCACTCCCATGATCCAGGAGGTGAATCTGGGAGAGTGCCCCAAAGCAAGGTGTTACTCCCTTGGCTCCCAGGTGAAATCACAGACTGCATTGCTGATAAATTAGTTTATTTTTCCTCCTGAGTTCTTCACCTCACAACTTTTAAATCTGTACAATTTTAGGAAAGGCATTCAATTAAAATTCCTCCTATTATCCAGCTGTAAAACAACTATTCCTATTTAAATTTAAAGCAGAAGCTTTGTCACATTAAACCCTGATAATTTATTATCTGCTTCGTGTCCTTTTACTCTAAACAGACACGTCATGGCTTCACTTACTTGCTTTCAAGTGCAACATTTCCCTCCAGGATCTGTGTCCTGAGATTACTCCAGGAATGAGGGATTGCTGTGCTGGGAGGGGGACAAACCCCGTGGCTGCTCAGAGCAACTTCCAGGGGCAAAGCAGGATCTTCCAAAGTGCAGCTGGGAAAGAGCAAAGGAAAAAGCAGCAGGCAGGGCACAGGGAGGAGGTGCCCAGAGCAAACTCTGGGCACTGAGGAGCGTGGCCAGGCCAGGGCCCAGCTCTGATCCTGGGGAGCTCTTCCTGAGCAGCACAAAACCCCAGCAGGTGCTGTTGCCTCCCCGGGATCTGAGGGCTGGCAGGATGGCCAGGGAGCTGCAGCCATGGACTCCCTCCTCTGGTGGAGATTCACAGGGAATGCAGGGCTCTGCCAGTGCCAGGGACAGAACTGTGCAAGCAAAGCCACCGGGGCTGGAAAAGACCTTGGAGATCATGGAGCCTTCAGCCCAGCACCACGGCCACCCCAGTGCCACAGCCACGTGGTTTTCAGCGCTTCAGGGCTGGGGATGTCACCACTGCCCTGTGCCAATGCTCGTCACCCTTTCCAGGAAAAAATTCCCTGATATTCAACCTGACCCTCCCCTGGCACAACTCTCCTCCTGTCCCTGTTTTCTGGGACCTGTCCCCTCCTGGCAGGAGCTGTGCAGAGCCACAAGGGCCCCCTGAGCTCCTTTTCTCCAGGCTGAGCCCCCTCAGCTCCCTCAGGACTCTCCATCCCCTTCCCAGCTCCCTCAGGACTCTCCAGCCCTTCCCAGCTCCCTCAGGACTCTCCATTCCCTTCCCAGCTCCCTCAGGACTCTCCAGCCCTTCCCAGCTCCCTCAGGATTCCCCAGCCCCATTCCCAGCTCCCTCAGGACTCTCCAGCCCTTCCCAGCTCCCTCAGGATTCCCCAGCCCCATTCCCAGCTCCCTCAGGATTCCCCAGCCCCATTCCCAGCTCCCTCAGGATTCCCCAGCCCCATTCCCAGCTCCGTTCCCTTCTCTGGACATGGAGAAGCCCTAAAGCAGAGGTGGAGCAGCCCCAGCACATGGGGAGCTCCTGGTTTTTGCTGGTCTCCTGTGCTGACAGACCCACAACCACTCCCAGCCCTGGGCTCCCCTCCGAGGGAGCTGCTGGCCACATCTCCCAAGCCTTGAGCTGTGTCTAAACAAGGAGGAATGTTATGGATGAGCTGGAATGCTGTGATACACTTGAAGGACAATTAGGAACATCCTAAGAAATGTGGGCTATAAACAAATGCCACTTGCAGATGTGCAGGGATCCCTGAAATGCTGGCTGGGATTTCTGAGAGGTGCAACAGCAAGAGCTGACCCAAGGGCTGTTCTCATTCCAGTTTAATGGGATTATCCAGCTTCAGGAGACACACAGCAGGAGTTACTGTGGAGGGGATCACAGGTACATAAAGCATGGGAGGGGGGAATGGGAAGATTTGGGATTACAGGAGGGTAGGAACCAGCAGCTGGGAGCCTGGAGCTGGTGGGAGCACCACAGCTGGCACAGGAGCAGAGCTCTCAAGCAGCTCCAAGCTTAGCTGGGGAGGAATTTGAGCTGTTTCCAGGTACAGAGCACCTGGATTTTCCTAAGGCAGCACAACATCACACAGACAGGGCACCTGTGCTTGGAAAACACTGGAGGGGTGAAGGAGAGCTGTGGGTGGGACAAATGGAGAATCATGGAATGGTTTGGGTGGGAAGGGATCTAAAAGCTCACCCTGCTCCACCCCACACCTTCCACTAGCCCAGGCTGCTCCAAGCTTCTCTGGGCACCCTGTGCCAAGGCCTCCCCACCCTCACAGGGAGCAATCCCTTCCTTGTATCCAACCCAAACTTCCCCTGTTTCAGTCTGAACCCAGACATGCTCAGGCTCCCTCCAGCTGCTGCCCTGGAGGCCAGAGCAGGCTGGTTTTGCTCCAGACAGGTTTATTGCAGACAGGCAAGGGTGTGGAACGGGCTCCAAGGCAGAGCAGGGATCTGCCCTGCAGGATTGAGCAAAGGCTCCTGCTCCCCAGGAACTCTGGCTAAAGGAGAGCTGCAGCCAGGCTGGGCAAGGTTTGCACAAGGAGAATTCCTGGGACAGCATGTGCTGGAAACAGGGTCAGGAGTCAAGGGCTGGTGCCAAGGGGCATTTCTGAGGCCAGAGCTCGAGATGGGAAGCGTGGCTTGGACCAGCTCTAGACCCAGATTTTTGGAAATGAAGGGAAGCCCCAAAATGAACACCTGACCCCCAGCTCCCCACAAATGTCCTGCACCAAAAACTGGCAACAGAATCCTGGAATGGTCTGGGTTGGAAAAGACCTGAAAGCTCACCCAGTGCAACCCCACTTCCACTATCCCAGGCTGGCCTTGGGCACTGCCAGGGATCCAGGGGCAGCCACAGCTGCTCTGGGCACCTGTGCCAGGGCCTGCCCACCCTGCCAGGGAACAATTCCTGCCCAAAATCCCATCCATCCCTGCCCTCTGGCAGTGGGAGCCATTCCCTGTGTCCTGTCCCCCCAGGCCCTTTCCCAAAGTCCCTCTCCAGCTCTCCTGGAGCCCCTTCAGGCTGGCAGGGGCTGGAACCCCAATGCAACACTCACCTGAACACAGTCCCACCTTTCCTAAACCATGGCCTAGGGAACGTTTGCAGCTACACATGGAAGGAACTGAGGGCATTCTCCCTGGATCCAAACCCCTCAGTGAGCAGGAGGGATCCCTGGTTTGCACCCAGGACTCACAAATTTGGGGAGAAAGGAAAAACAAGTTGATGTCCAGAGTTCACAATGGAAAGCAAATGTTAAAACAACAAGCTACAGGCAAACGAAACATGGGCAGTTTGGGCAGGGCTCTCTGGCAGCTCTGAGTTTCCTGACCTGCCCCGTGGCTCCTGTTGGGGCAGCCCAGTGAGCAAGGCTGGGTGGAAGGAGCAGGAGTGATCCATGGGGCTGATGGCACGGTTGTGGCTGTCCAGAGAGCTTTTACAGCTGACCCAATCCTCACTGGAGTTACCATTTAGGGAAAGAACTGGGGGAAGAGAGGAGTAGAGGCTAAACCCTGAGCACGAGGAATATAAACACTGGCCCTTTTGGAAGAGCAAGTGATGATATCATGCACACATCACACCCTTCCTGTGTAAACAGGAGTGCCAGCAGGAGCAGGCATTGGAAACTGGATGTCCAGTGCCTCTGGGTAGCTCTGGAGGGCTGCAGCCATCAGTGAGGCCAAGAGCATTTCTTAGGATCAGACTCTGGTGCTTTCAGGCACTTCCCAAGCTTCTCACAGCCTGGAGGAGCCCAATTCTGTTAAAAACAAACAGAAATAGACAGAAAGATGATTCACACCAAGTATCTGCTAAGCTCTCGCCCCAGCCAGCTCTTTATAATCCTCACAAAGACACTTTTATGTGCTGCTTGAAAAATGGAACTCCTCTTGCAGCCCAAGCCTCCCGGCTCATAAACTTCCCCACTCCAAACAGTGCTCAAATAAAAGCTGGGAAAGGCTAAAATGCTGTGCAGCAGATGATTCCCTGTCCTGGGCCCTGCCTGGCCTCTCCCAGCCCAGCCTGCTGGGATCTGCTGACCCTCCTGTGCCTCCTGTGGCAGCACAGAGCAAGCAGAGCAGGAGGCTTTGGTGGCACCCCCAGTTTTCCTGGAGTTCCCATTCTCAGCACTGCAATATCCACTGTCCTGAGGAAGCAAAAGGCAGCAGAAGGCCAAGGGTGTGAGAGAGATAAGAATGCTGGTATTTTAATGAGCGTTTTGATGGATGAATCCATGGGCAGAGGGGGCAGGAAGCATTCCTGAGACACCTCTTCCAGTGCACACCAAAACTGTTTGTTTTCCTTGTTTCCACGTTTCTTGGGCTACCTGAATGTGTAGAACAGAAAAAGGAGATCCACTGCCAACCTCAGCTTCCAGAGGCATTAATGGAGGAAGGAATTTGGATAGATGAACATTTTAAATTTAATGAGGTTTTGCCATTTAAAATGTGGGATTGTGGTCATGGGAAGGGCAGATAACACTTCCCATTCTGCCTTCAGGAATCTTTTGTGCCTCCCTCTCTCAGGTCTGTCCATCCACGGGACATTCCTGCTGTTCCCTATTAAAGGCCAGGTCAAACTGACCTCTTGCCTTTCATTTTGCTGATTTTCACCCTGCAAATATTTCTGTTTTCTTGGAATTAAATTCCTACAGAAAAGAAATGCTCAACCCCAGGAAAAAAACCACTGGAGCAGGTTTTTGTTCCATGGAGCTGACAACAGATGGCAGTGAGACACCAGCTATTCCTGCAGAGGAGCAGACACAGAGGGAGCTGTGCTGGAGACACCTCTGCACCGAGGGCTCCGCAGGCTTTCTGAACAATTCATGGCGTTTTCTAAATCTGTTCCTCCGGTTTAAGATGTGCAGCCACGGCTGGAAAACTCAGAGCACTCTGCAGAAGGAACCGAGAGCCAAAGGACCACATGAACTGAAATGTTTGTTCTTTTGAAAAAGCAGAACAAGAAACGGTCTGTGCTGCCCTCCCGCAGCCCCAGTCCCGCCCGGGCTGGCCTGGGAGCCCTGGGGACACCACGTGTGCCAGAGGCAGGCCAGCCCGAGCTGCAGGAACAGCTTCTCCCACACTTGCAGAGCAGGAAATCCCAGCAGAGCTGGCTCGGGGGGAGCTCCCTGCACGGATGGGCTGCACACACCTCCCTGCTCCTGCTCCCAGCGCTGCTCCGGGAGCTGCAGTGATCCACCTGCTGGAATCCTGCAGGGCCTGGGTGGGAAGGGACCTCAAAGCCCACCCAGTGCCACCCCTGCCATGGCAGGGACACCTTCCACCATGCCAGGTCCCCCCAGCCCTGCCCAGCCTGGCCTTGGGCACTGCCAGGGATCCAGGGGCAGCCGCAGCTGCTCTGGGCACTGTGCCAGGGCCTGCCCACCCTCACAGGGAACAATTCCTGCCCAAAATCCCATCCATCCCTGCCTTTTGGCAGGGGGAGCCATTCCCTGTGTCCTGTCCCTCCGTGGCCTTGGACACTGCCTTGAACACTTCGCACACTTTGTTTGTGTGTAAGCAAAGACAATTCTCCTCCTCTCTCCCAGACACATCAAACAGACACCCTTACCACTGAACAGGTGACAGGAGATAGTGTCAGCAAATTATCTTTATCTCCCAGCATCCCCCAAACCAGATTTAGCCCTGAGTCCAGCCCAGCAACACAATCACTCCCTGCAGGTTTGCTTCTCTTCATTTCTGCTTTCCTGATATTTTGGTGCAGTGACCATGGGGTTATCCTGTGAGGGGTGTACACAGAGTGGGAAACTCACTGTGTTTCCTGCTGGGATTGAAGCATTTCTGCTGGGATTAGGATCCCCCAGCCCACTGATGGCCTTCCATTTGGGAACAGTTGTGGAAGAAATGCCTTTGCAGTGCAGGGCTCTGGCAGCAGCCAGGCCCTGGGGACAGTGCCTGACTCCAAAAGGTCCCAGAGGAGCAGAGAACAGTGTTTATTAAGGGAAAAGTTGAATAAGGAAAGAAAACAACACAGAAACAATGGGCCCTCAAATCTTTTTCCTATTAACATCCAAAAATAAAGAGATGGGACAAAGCTAAGGGAGATCTTTGCCTTGTTACTGAGGGGACACAGCTCCACGTTTTGTTCTTTGCTGGTGACAGACCAGTGGCAGCAGGTTCTGACTGATTCAGGAGATTATTTATTTATTATCAGGAAGATTTTGCCTGTTACTATTTTGTCTGTCAGCCCACAGACACATTCCCTCGGATACACAGTCTCCTGTCAAGTGACAACCTCCCCCAGATTATCCTGTTTCTCTCCCAGGTTCTCAACAAACCAAGCAGTGTTTGACAGGAAAGCCAAACTGTAACTTTCCAACAGGAGACTTGAAAGAGAAAACAGAACTGAAAAAGTTCAATTTCAATAAAGATTGCAAAATTCAGGCATGGGGGGAATTGGAGGAGACACAGCAAGATCAGAGGTACAGCACTGAAAATGAACTGTCCCATAGAGGACTCAAAACAAAGAGGGCAGGGATAGATGGGATATTGGGGGGAAATTCCTCCCTGTGAGGGTGGGCAGGCCCTGGCACAGGTGCCCAGAGCAGCTGTGGCTGCCCCTGGATCCCTGGCAGTGCCCAAGGCCAGGCTGGATGAGGCTTGGAGCACCCTGGGATGGTGGAAGGTGTCCCTGCCATGGCAGGGGTGGCACTGGATGAGCTCTAAGATCCCTTCCCACCCAAATCAGTGCAGGATTCCATGATTCCAGGATTTTGAGAATTGCAGAAGGGGATTAGAAAGGAGAAGAAGGATCTGCCCTGTCTCCAAGCAAGGAAGCCACCAGCAGGTAACTGCATCTCTCCTCCATCCCCTCCCAACACTGACAGCTTATGAAACCTTTACAAAATGTATTTCACCCCAAGGATTCCCCAGAGCATTTGTGCTTCAGGCACTCACCATGACAGCCTGGTCACACACGTTCAGCTGGGGCTGGCCTGGCACCAGGGTGGCCTTGTGCTGCTGCACCAGCCCCGAGATGTGCTCCACAGCCCGCTGGTACTCCTCACTGGCAAAACTGCAGGGGAAAAGCACAGGGCTTACTGCTGGGCCTTCCTTTGTGTCCACACCACCAGGCTGGGCCACAAGGAGGAGGAGAGGTGGAAACAGCCTGCCAGCTGCCCTCAGCTCTGTAGGGGATGAAATCCACGCTGGCAGGGGGCAGGTGCTCTGCTTGGGGCAACGAGGATGGCAGTGGCTGGTTCTCCCCAGAAATCACCTGGCTTCAGAGCAGCTCAGCTGCCCACACTGCTGGTCCAGGGGCCCCAAATGTTTCCTCCTCATGCAGATCTGCTAGGAATAAATGTGGCTTCCCAAGGGAATTGTCTTAGCAAATAAAAGGGCATTTCTGGGTTGTCCTCGAGCTGTCCCTTCAATGATTATCCAGGGACACTTCCCAGACATAGGACAAACACTCTCCCAGACAGCTTAGGACAGAAATTTCCCAAGGCAGCCCTTCCAGCGTGTCCCACCTGAGGTCAGCAGCTCTCCACACTCAGCCCCCACTCTTCCAAGAGCTCTCCTGGAACACCTGCCCCGGCGGAGGCGTTTGTTGGAGGGAAGCAAAGGGAATGTCAATATTTTGTTTTACAAGAGTGTTCTCAGGAAGGGTTTCAAACACAACCCCGGGCCAGTTAAACTCCACAACCACCAAGGAAATGAACTAAAATTATGCAAACAGAGAGGAGAAGAATAGAAGGGCCTCGTCCAATACCTCCCCCATTCCACAAAACGCCGAGGTTCTGCCCCATCCAAATTCCTCCACTCCAGTTTGATTATTCCAAGCTGGGAGCCATCTGCCATGCCCCAAACGTGGTTCTCAATGACCAGATCCTGACCCACCCGACTCCTCCAGCAGGTATTTGCTGGAGTGGCTCAGGGGGCACTTCACTAATATCTCAAGGATTTCTAAAAAGCACAATTTGTCCATCACCTTAAGAGTCACTTAAAAAACCACCAAAAACCCCACAGAGAGCGGCAAATTCCTTCTGAAGATAAAAGAAACAATGCAGCTGGGTCCTGACCTCGGGCTCCCCCTGCTCCCAGGCCAAGCTGGCCAGCAGCCCCACACTCCAGCTAATTTCCTTCTTTGCAAAACAATCACATTTGGAAGGCCAGCGATGTGCCAAGCGCTTCCAGTAAACCCTATAAATATCCCAGCTGGGCAGGCAGCCAGGGAGAGGCTGATTGTGGGGCTGGGCTGAGCTGTGCTGATAGAGAGCAGGAAGGGAATGTGGGATGAGGAGCTGGAGCTGCTGCTCTCACACCCAGCTGCCTGGTCCTGGTGGAGAGAGCTGCAGGACCACCCTGAAATCCAGAGGATCTGGAGAAGCTCCTGAATTTCATAGAATCTGACAAGCCTGGAATGGTTTGGGTGGGAGGAGATTTAAAGCCCATCTCATCCCCCCCCCTGCCATGGCAGGAACACCTTCCACCATCCCAGCCCTGTCCAGCCTGGCCTTGGGCACTGCCAGGGATCCAGGGGCAGCCACAGCTGCTCTGGGCACCTGTGCCAGGGCCTGCCCCCCCTCCCAGGGAACAATTCCTGCCCAAAATCCCATCCAGCCCTGCTCCATGGAGGTTGGTTTTCTTTTCTTGACCCCATGGAAATCCCCATTCCATGGGGGTTGGTTTTCCTGCCTTGGCTCCATGGCTCAGTTTTAACTCAGACATTCCTCTGCAGCTCCAAAACATGCCCCAAAATCCCACATCCATGGATTCGTGAAGTATTTACTGACTGCACAGGAGTTAAAACTGCCTCCAGCCCTACCAAGTACATTCTGAGACAAAATCTGCAAGAGTGCCTGGAATTTGCATGTAAAATGGGGATAATTACCTCATGGTAATCAGTCTGAGCTGTTAAGGGAGCTGGGAACCTCTCCTACCTGGAGTCCCATCCTTTCCCGGAGTGCATATGCAGGCCTGGGCTGCAAGGCCAGGTTTGCTGCATTCCCTGCTCCAAAAGGAGGTGGAATTGTCTGTACAGGTGTCTGGGCACCATTGTCTGGGAGGAGCAGCCTCCGGGCCGAGCTGCATTTCGTATTCCAGTTCAGCAATCCCGGGAAGGAGAGCTGGGAATAGCACTGCAAGAATGAGAGGGTGAGCAGGTGGTGTTGTGAGGAGTTTGCTAAAAGAGATCCCCCAGCGTCCATGAAATTATTCCAGGCTCAGAAGGAGGGAGCAGAGTGGACAAAGTCCAGGGTCATTACACTAATTGACACTTTACCTCCGGGAAGTCCCTGGAGATGCAATCAGGGCTGGATTGGAGCGTGGGGTCCCAGGCACAGGTGTGGGCTGTGCTTCCTTCATTTACTGTAATTGTGCCTTGGCAATCTGCTCCATCCTCCCCCCACAGCTCCTGGAACCTGCTCTGCTGCTTAACCCCAGCCTGCCCTCCCAGCAAAGCCAGCTCTGCACGAGGAGGGTTTGTCTCACCCTGCTCTAATCCTGGGCTCCTTGGGCTTCCACCTGAGGGGATGGTTGTCTGCCATCATTAAATGCACCCTCAAACAGATCAGCACCCAAATCAATCCAGGAGCACCTCCAGCAGGATTTCAGGATGTTTGTTTTGCACCTGGTCCTGCTGATTCACACTGTCTGTCCTGGGAGTGATGGGGCTGTGGGGAAACTGAGAGGACTGGGACAAAATGGGAATAATATAAAAACTCACAGAATGGGGGTCACAGAAACCTGACAGAGGGCTCTAGACCAGGCTGGACAGGGCTTGGAGCAGCCTGGTTTAGTTTAAACAGGATGAGCTTTAAAGGCCCCTTCCAATCCAAACCATTCCAGGATTCCAAGGTTCTAGGAACAGCAGCTCTCAGATTGATATGAAGTTATGGGAAGAGCATAAAATGTGGCTAATGATACTTCACTTCCTTCTCCCCTGGAATTATTTTAATTAAAACCATTATTTTTAATTCTGAAATACACCCAGATTCTGATAATTTGATTTTATCTGTTATCAGTGCTTTGAGGCTTCGCAGCACCGTGGTATCCAAGTCTTGATCTTGTCTTATTACTCAGTCTTCCTCAGTTCCTCTCTCCTATTATCAAGTTTATTTGCAATTCAAGGTCTGCACAATGCAGGAGGCAGAGACACGTTTGGGGCTCTGCTGCTGGAATTACTGGAGAGACTCAGAGGAGCCAAAGGAAAACAAATGAGGAACCAAAGGCTGAAGGTGGCCCTTAGCCTGAGTCACCTCTGGTCCAGCAGCATCTTGGGGACAGATGCTTCCCTGGAGGTGTGAGGCCACTGAGCCATGGGAAACCTTGGAATTCCAGAATCATCCAGGCTGGAAAAGGCCTCCAGGGTGGGAGAGTCCAAGCTGTGATGATCAGATAAGGAGATGTGGTGGTGCTGATCCTCCACCTGCTCACCTATTTTCATGGAAGTTTTCTCTCCCCAGCTCCCAGAACCCTGGATTTCACTGCCAGGAACCCCAGCACTGAAGTGGCAAAGGGGATAAAGGTGGAGTGAGGAGTAAAGCCTTCATCTGGGGGTGAACAGGTGACAGGAAATAACAGCTGTCCACTGATCCTCCTGCTGGCTGCTCCTGTGCTATTCCCAAAGTTTCATTTTCTCAGTCACAATTTATGTCCTGTGTCCTTCAGGCCACTTTGCCTGAACCTGTCTGTGGAGATGATGATGATGATGAAGATGATGGCAAACTGCATTTTGTATTTTTCCAGCTGGTTTGTGCAGCTTTTTTCTCCCAATACTCCTTTTCATGCAGCATGACTCCACCCAGAACACCTGAGGGCTGTGGGCTGGTGAAGCACGAGCTCCAGGCTGTCCCAGACCCTGGGAAAGGGCAGCCAGAGGTGTTTGTGCCCATTCCCAGGCTCCAGGCTGATGATTCTCCTCCACAGGTGGGTTTTATCTCCCCTCTTCCCTCCAGCTGGCTCTGCACCATCCCAGCTGGCTCCCCTGCTTCTCCCACCTTGCTGCAGCCAGGCCCAGCGTGGTTGGTGCTCCATGGTTTTTATTGTCACCTCGGAGGCTCCTCAGCCACCATTTCCACACTTTTAGTGTCACCTCTCCTGTGGCAGCTGCTAATTCACCCCTGCAATGCAGCTGGTACCACTTCCCTCTTCTCCAAGATGAGGAGTCAGCACCTCCCTCAGGCACAATCCTTGCTCTTTGTTGTTATTCACATTTCCCCCTGTTTTGCACCTTCTCTCTCTTCCCCACAGCCAGGTTTGTGCCCTGAGCACTAAGGTGAGACTGGCAACTTTTCTGTCAGATCCTTTCCCCTTTAGCTTCCCTTCAGGAGCTCCTTCCCTTTTTTTGCTGGCTCCATAACCACTGCAATTACCTCTCTGATGATTTCCTGAATTTTCCATCTGCTCGAAATAGGCACTTGTGAGCTCTCTTCTTAATTAATGTGTTCTAAAATCATTATGTTCATCAACCAAGCCTTATCACTTCCATTTTCTTCCATAATAGTAAAATCCATTGCCCTAAGTAAAACACAGGAATTTTGATGTTCATAATTCAATAAACTCGTTGCTCAGAGCAGAAGCTGCTACAAACCTGAAGTAACAACAAGGTGTGAGCAGGCTGTACTCACCCTGTCCTCACTTGTTATTAAGCTTTGCACCTCTGGCTCAAACTGGCAGCATTTCAGAGATTTCTGTTATCAATTCTTTGGCTTCAAAACACTTTTCCTACTTCAGGCTGCATTAGGTATTTTACTAACTGTATTTTAAGCCGTGCCAGCTTTGCTTTTTCAATATATACATAAATATATATATATAAAAATAGATAAATATAAATATTTTATCTATATATATAAATATATGTTTATATTATTTATAATAAAATATTTATTTATATTATTTATAATATAAATAATTTATTTATAAATGTTATTAATTTATTTATAAATGTAATTATTTGTGTTCTTCTCAACTGATAATGCAGTATTTTAGTAAATGTCTGTATGAACAATAATCTGACTCAGATAATAAAACTGACAACTGCTTGTGAAGATGGTACCAACAGATAATTTTACTGAATTTGCTACACTGGAGAAACAAGTTCCCTCTGTGGTACTTAGCACACACACCACAGCCCAAAGATAACAGAATCTGGCCAAGGAAAAAAACCTATCAGATCTTTTAGTTCTGCATTTGGATAAATTTGGTAACAAGGGCAGTTATTGCATCCAGGAAGGAAGCAAAGCCCTGCTCAGACTCGGGGAAATGCTTCTCCTTTCTGTGCTGCCCCACACACATTCCTGGTTACAGTGTGAAGTTGAGAGCTATAAAAAAAAGAGATTTTCTGTCCCCAGCCTGCACTGGTCTAGGTGACAAAAAAGCACAAAGGGTTCACGTCTCAGCACCGAGGATGAGGTGACACAAGGGTCTAAAGGAAGGGATTCCTCCCTGTGAGGGTGGGCAGGCCCTGGCACAGGTGCCCAGAGCAGCTGTGGCTGCCCCTGGATCCCTGGCAGTGCCAAGGCCAGGCTGGACAGGGCTGGGAGCACCTGGGATGGTGGAAGGTGTCCCTGCCATGGCAGGGGGGCACTGGATGAGCTTTGAGGTTCCTCCAAGCCAACCCTCTCCAGGATTCCAGGATATTTCAAGGCAAAGGAGCAAACACAACTGTGTTCCCTGGCAGAAGATGGGGGCAGGGGGTCCAGCCAAACCAGAGGGGCAGCAGGAAGAGAAGTCCCAGCCGTGGTGGGGGCTGTTCCCAGGGCAGCTGAGGGCAGGGAGCAATGACAGGGTGCTCAGCAGTGCCAGACGTGTCCCCACACGCTGACAGGACCTGCCTGGGACTGCCTGAGCCATTCTTCACTGCATGTGGAGCTCTCTTGCTGGGACTGCTTGCAGGCAGGCTCCAGGAAATGCAGGGAACTGTGTGAGGAAGAGGAAGGACTTGTCCTGCCTCACCAAGAACCCCAGGGAGCTGAACATGTTACTGCTGCCTCTGGCTCTTGCAGGACTTGCATTTTGAGGGATTCCTTTAGCAGCCACTTCAACAAAGACTGAAAAGCTTTGTTTGATTTTTGCAAAAATAAGTTATTTCTATCCACTCATCTTCCCAGTATAGAGTAACAATCATGGAATGGTTTGTGTGGGAAGAGATCTCAAAACTCCTCTAGTTCCAACCCCCATGAGATGACTCAAATAGTGGTGGGTTTGGCAGGGCCAGGTTAATGGCACTTGATGGTCCTAAGGATGCAATCTTAAATATTCCCTGAATCTGTAAAGCTGCAGCCTTGTAGAACTGTCCCTGTGTGTCCTGCACGTGTCCTGACCCTGCAAGTCAGGGGTACTGCTGCAGGTGGCTGAGCTGCTGATTCCTGGGATTCCCTGGCTCTGAGATCCCAAATATAGAAGCAGTGAATCCCTCTGGAGGTGCATGTGATGCCAGGCCCTCCTGAGCAGCAGTGGCACCCACTGCTGCTGGCTTTGCACGTGACCCCACCCCAAACTCACGTAAATCAAGAGACATGACAGATTATTAAAATCATTTCTAGGGAGAAGAAAAGGCTGTACTAAATAAGGAATAAATGTAATAAAAAGTGAGCAAAAGCAGGCAGGGAGAGCAGAGCCAGCACGCAGGGACAGACAGATGCAGGCTGGGAGCAGGATGCTGGATTCCCTTTGGAGAAACATTAGTGTCGGGACTCCCAGCAGGCTCCCTGCCAAGGGGGATAATTAAGCTAAATAAAAATACACACCAGGAACAGCTCCACAAATGAGGATAATTTAATTACCACATTCGATAGAGCAGACCCACTTCCCAAGAGTTTTCCATTGTGACCAGAGAGGAGACAATAGCAGCAGAATGTGCTGGAGAAAGGAAGAGTGGAGTGCTAAAGCCAGGGTTTCTATTAGGGGCTGCATAATAAACACCAGCCCAGCTCTCATAATCGGGTCATAATCTTGCCATAAAATTCAATCAGAGCAACAGCTTGTGAATATCCAAAAAATCAATGCAACCATATGAGAAATGATTGCAGTTGGAAGCCTGGAATGTATTTCAATGCTCACTCCACGGTGGTGGGAAGGAGCAGTGGAATCACAGGGAAGCAGGTGCTGCAAACACCTCTGAGGGAAGAGCTCCTCTGCCTCAAACCCAGAGGAAACACAAACAGTACCACAGACGCCCAAAATCACAGAGTGTTCAGGGCTGAGAGTTCTAGAGCTCATCCAGTGCAATCCCCTGGCAGGGCAGGGTCACCTGGAGCAGGTGACAAAGGTGACACACAGCAGGCAAGCTACAGCTCAGTTCCTGCTACCCTTTTTTATTTTTGGAAAAAGAGATTGTTTCTATACACTTATTTCCTAAAACAGAATCACAGAATCCTGGAATGGTTTGGGTTGGAAGGACCTTAAAGCCCATCCCATCCCACTCTGCCATGGCAGGGACACCTCCCACTGTCCCAGGCTGCTCCCAGCCCTGTCCAGCCTGGCCTTGGGCACTGCCAGGGATGCAGGGGCTGCCACAGCTGCTCTGGGCACCAGAACCTCACCACCCTCACAGCCAGGAATTTTCCCCCAGTCTCCCATCCATCCCTGCCCTCCAGCACTGGGAGCCATTCCCTGTGTCCTGTCCCTCCATCCCTCGGGAAATGAGGCCCTTGTTGAACTGCCCAGGTCTCCCCTGGAATCCCAGCCCGGTTTAGTTTCACCGAGCTGTATTTACAGCCCTGGGGCTGCAGCTGTGCTCTGTTCATTAGTGCTGGAATGCAGTGGGAGCAGAGCCCCCGAAGAGCTTTACCCACTGCTGATGCACCTCTAAAGTGCTCTGTTAAGTGAGAGAATGGAAATTTTCCCTCCCCTCCTCTCTCCAGTGGAAACACTCCGTGGACAGCACAGGCTCAGCTCCTCTGGAAGGAACGGGGTGAGTGTGTCCACTCAATTATTCAAACCAGCTGAGTAATTGCAGCCCTGTCAGCTCAGGAAACATCTCTGCCTCTCCAGGCTGCTGCACAAAGCCAGCTCTGGGCAGGCAGTCCCAGCAGCTCCTGCTCCTTCTTGATTTATTTCCACACTCTCCCTGTCAGAGCCCCTGGAAGGGATGAGGCTGCGTGTCCCTGGATCTGCTGCAGGGAGGGAGGCAAGGAGGGAGCTGGGGACACCTTGGGAGCATTTTTGGAGGTGGCAGGGCTCTTTGTGGGCTCTGCTGGCTGCTGACTGCATAAAACCTTGTGGGAATCTCTCAGGGCATGGTGTGTGCCAGAGATAAATATTACAATAGCAGGCTTAGAGGAAAATGGATTCAGACAGCCAGGAGAGCCCCAGGAAGGATCAGGATTGGGCACAAAATCCTCCTGCTAAACACCTCTGGAGAAGCTCCCTGAGCTGGGGCAGGAGACTGGAAGGTGAGCAGTCTGCCCTCCAGAGATCTCAGCAGCACACAGCACTGGCTGCTTCTCCCCTGGCCCCAAGGCACAGCTCCCCAGCAGCTCTGTCTGAACGTGCTGCACTCAGCCCTGTCCTGTCCAAAAATTGGTGTTTTCCTCCTCCCCGAGGGGCTGCAGGACACACAACAGGAACAGCCAGGCTGACAAGTCCATGTGCACACCCATCTCACCTGACCTCCTGAAAACAAGGCTTTTGTTCCATCTCCAGAGAAAAAGCCAGCAGGAAAGCCATTATTTCCAGCGTGGCTTTCTGGGACACTTTTTAAGCAGATTTCAAGAACCAACAAATAAATTCTGAACAGTGACACTGCTGAGTGCTCAGGACAGCCCGTGAAGTGGCTCACCTTAAGGGGTACTTCTCACCAGGGTCCCTGCCCAGGTGGAAGAGCAGGGGCAGGTGGGTGTGCTCCTCCTGGGTGTGTGTGGTCACCCCAGCCACGCTCTGGCCAGGACAGAAATCGATGCCCTGCAGGAAAAAGGACAGAGGTCATCAGGGCAGGCAGCAAAACTTGAATTGATGCCATTTTCTCCAGCAAAACACCAACAAACCTCAGGATTGTTTTAAACCAAAAGTCCACTTCATTCTCCAAAACACATCCTGAGCTGGTGGGGTAAAATAAGGTGAGCAAGTGGTGTTGCACTGACATAAGAGCTGAAGCAAGGCCGTGCATTCTTGTCTTATAAAAATATAATCCCAATAAAATATTCATTCAAATGAAATGGCAGAACAAAAGACAAAGAGGGGGAAGCATTTAATCATAAAAATTCTGCACGTGGAAAGGATTTTCTGGCTGGTTTTTCTGGCTTTAGAAAGCCCCAGGAAAGATGGAATTGCTTGACACTTCTGATCAAAACCAAAACCCTAGGAGAGACATCCAGACACCCTGAGAGGCAGCAGGCACCTGAAAACTCCCCTGGCAGCACCTGAAGGATCAGTTTCTCTGAGAAATGAAGCAAATCTGGTTAATTTTATAAAAACTGTGTGTTTTCAATTTGATTCCTGGCAAGCTGGTACTGAGGGACTCACCTGGGCATGACAGTGGGGATGGGAGAGCTGCAGGAAGGGGAGACATTCCCACATTCCTGTCTCTGACCATCTGGGGGGCACAAGGTGGGATTTTCCTGCAGCAGCAGTGCATTTGAAGGGCACAGCTCCTGGGAATGTGCTGGGGAAGCCGCTGGGAGCAGCAAGGGGTTAAATGCTCGCTGGGCACCAGAGCTGCCAGCCCTGCCAGCCCCCTCCCTCCCTCCCTCCCCAGCCCTGATTTGCCAGCTGGGAGCTCCCTAATCCCTGACCTGCAGCCTCCAGGGCCACCAGAGCCCATTTAAACCCCGGCAAGAGCCAAAAATGCAAAAGCACTCATTTCCCTGGGCAGGCAATAAAGCAGGGCCCCCAGCCCAGCCCAGCCCAGCCAGGCCCGGCCCCAAATGGACTTGTTAAAGCTGGGTTTTACAATTCCAGCTCCCACGCTGTTCCTCACAATCCCAAAGAGCCCCGAGGCACGGACAGAGACATGGAGAGCAGGAAAATGGGAGTGCTGCAATGGAAGGGGGAAAGCAGCTGCAGCATTTGCTTATAAAACAAACTGAAAAGGCTCTCTACAGATGTTGGTAGGATTTGATTGGCAAACAATTTTCTAAAAATATCCCGTGTTTCTAATGGACAGCTGGTCAGTGGAGCAGTTAATATTCTGCTTTTCAATAAAGCAAGAAGTTTAGAAGCCCATGAAATCCCATTTATCTGCACAGGGCTATAGATTCCTGAGTCACTGACTGGAAAAATAAGGGAGTTGCTTGATAGGTTGGAGTGGCCCTACCAATAATGGACTTTAAATGGATACAAAACTGATTGACCTTCCCACCCCGTGATGCCACAGGCCTTGAAACACACAGGGAAAAGAGATTTTTGTGGGTTTTTTTCCCCACAAAAGGACCAGTTAATGAAAAGGTATCAAAGCCTCCATAACATCCAAATTATAATTTGGATGCAAATCAAACAAGCAATTTAATTAAGAGCCTGCTAATTGGTACAATGCTCCTCGGCTGCAATGCTTCAGTGTGAAAGATTTTCGTCTCTCGGGTGTTTGTTTAGACATTGCTCTGTTTCTATTTTATCTGGTGTTTCCCAGGAAATCCCTGTAGCCCAAACTCCAAAGAAAAATCCCAAAGATTCCCAGGAAAGAAAATGCTGGGACAATTTGCCTGATGCCACCAGCCCAAAGCCACCTGTCATTCCAATTTAAGCACTCAGTGTCCCCTTGAAAAGCAGTCTAGTGGAGAAAAGTCAAATAAATAAATAGGTAAGTAAATAAGACTCCAAGAATACAATTTTAGGACATTTCTAAGCCATTCCAATTTTATCCCTGCAAATAAAATGGAATATTGCTATTTTTATGTAGTCTGTGAGTCAATATTCAACCTGCAGAGAGAGCTTCAAAGATTTTTCTATCTATTCATCAACAAATTAGTAAAAAAAAATTAAAAAAAATATATATAATTCAATATTATTTATTTTGTATAGGTAGGTTGGGTGATGTTTGGAGCTGCAGAAGAACCAGGAGCTGCCTAAGCCTGTCCTGCCCAGCAGGATAACACCACCCAGTTCCACTCTCCTGCTATCCCTAAAGCTGTTTATTGTCACTGTTCACAGCAATATGCAGGGATCAGTAATTGGGGCACATTCCTAATTTTTGTCCCTGCTCCCTACCCAAGGGTGGAGTCCCCATCCCTGCAGGGGCTCAGGGCAGGACTGGATGTGGCTCAGGGCTCACCCTGGGGACAGGTCCCTCATGACCCTGTTGGCTTTTCCACCTCCAGGGCTCTGGGACTTGCAGGGCTCACTGATCAAACACAGCACAAAGCTCACTCTCTGTGTTTCAGCAAACTCCTGGAGCTTTTCTCCTCCATCACAAAAGCCTGGAAGCCAAACCAGAAGCTCCTGTCTGGAGCATCTGCTGCCTTCTAAGGGAGCCCAAACAGAGCTTCAAGAGCAGCTGAGCTCCTGCCCAGCTCTTACAGTGTTTTGCACCACCACAGAAACCTGTTTGCTGCAGGAGAGAGTCCAACAATCCTTTCCTTCAGCGATTCTGATGAAAACATGACACTCCCTGCCCACCAGGTGAGCCTTCCAGCCTTCACCATGCCTGTCCTTCTCAGCAATCTCACAGCCCGCCTTGTTTTTCCATCCCTGGGATGCAGCAGCCTTCGGTTGCACAGCTTTAATTTCCAGAGCAAATGGCCCACAGATGCTGTGTCAATATAGACATGAGACAAACACAGCCGGTTGCCAGTTTGGGCTCCCTGCCAAGAGATGGAATCACCACTTGTGTTAACGGGAGCCCTCTGGCAATTCCTCAGCCTGGCTCCAGCCCAGCTGGGCTGGCAGGGGCAGGAGCCACCCCAGCCCAGCTCTGCCTCCTGCTCTGCTCACCCCACCCCACCAGCACCACCCAGGGCACCAAGAGCAGGTGAACACTGCAAGGAGAAAAGTGCAGCTGCCAATTAAAACCTGGGATTTTTTGTTTCTTGCTGTTTGCCACGGCACAGATAAACGGTGCCCTTGCCCTCCTGGGGAAATCCTCCTTGGGATGAGCAGTCAGCTCCACGTGGGGGTGCCAGGCTCCAACCCCGTGCTCCCAAAATTGCTTCTGATGTGTGAAGAGGCTGGAAGAGCTCCTGGAGATGGGCAGACCCTGGAGATGGGCAGCCCCCAGGGATGATGGGCAGATCCTATGGATGGGCAGCCCCTGGGGATGGGCAGATCCTGTGGATGGGCAGCTCCTGTGGATGATGGGCAGTCCCTGTGGATGGGCAGCCCTGGGGATGGGCAGATCCTATGGATGGGCAGCCCCTGGGGATGGGCAGCCCCTGGGGATGATGGGCAGTCCCTGGGGATGATGGGCAGCTCCTGTGGATGGGCAGCCTCTGGGGATAGGCAGCCCTGGGGATGGGCAGATCCTACGGATGGGCAGCCCCCGGGGACGATGGGCAGCTCCTGTGGACGGGCAGATCCTAAGGATGGGCAGCCCCTGTGGACGGGCAGCCCCTGGGGATGGGCAGATCCTGTGGATGGGCAGCTCCTGTGGATGATGGGCAGTCCCTGTGGATGGGCAGCCCTGGGGATGGGCAGATCCTACGGATGGGCAGCCCCTGGGGACGATGGGCAGCTCCTGTGGACAGGCAGATCCTGGAGATGATGGGCATCCCCTGTGGATGGGCAGATCCTGTGGACGGGCAGATCCTAAGGATGGGCAGCCCTGGGGATGGGCAGATCCTGTGGACAGGCATCCCCTGGAGATGGGCAGCTCCTGTGGATGGGCAGATCCTGGAGATGATGGGCATCCCCTGGAGGAGATGGGCAGCTCCTGTGGATGGGCAGCCCCTGTGGACGGGCAGCGCAGCGAGCTCCGATCGATGCCTGGTTCATATGCTCAGAGGACCAAAATCAAATGTCATTATTTGTGAGGTTCTACTTGACTTCACATCCCCGTTGCAGAAAAGGCTTTATCGATCCCTTCACGTGCAGGAGAAGGGCAATCGCAGAGCCTGACTGCAATAAGCCCTTTGGCATTTCGCATTAAGACAATAGCGGCAGCCTTTAAAGCCGCAGGAGCGCTCCAGGAATCCCAGGGAAGGCTCCCAACAAGCTGAAGCACAAAGGTTGATGTTATCAGCCCCTCTCCCGCAACCAAAGGGCGTTTTCCACCTTTTTTCCTTCATTATTTTTTCCCCTTCTTGCATCTCTTGGGAGGTACAAGGGCTGTTCTGTGCTGGATGCTTTTGGTGGGAGGCAGAGAAAAGGAAATTTCCTTTCTCCTGCTACCTCCCGTTCCTGCCTCCTCTATCCAGCACGACATTAGGAAATTCCTGAGGACTTGCTGCCTACTTTATAGAAAACACCCATTTTTTACCCTTTCAGACCCCTAACTCTCAAAAAACCCCAGCATTTGACAGGTGGCTGTCCTGTGTGTTTTCACAGTCCAAGAGGGATCTCCCCAGGTTTATCCTCAGTTCTCCCTTTGCTCCTGCACACGTGGCTATTTTCATCCCTGCTGATTTTTGCTACCAGGAAAAAAACGGTGAACAAGAATGGAAAAGCTTTGATAGCCACCAGTCCTGGAGCACCAGCACTCAGCCCACGTGCAGGAGGGAGATTTTTCTGCCTCTATCAAACTGTTTAAAAATACAAACACATTTTTCAAGTCAGGCTTCCTTTCATCTCCCTCTGTCCCATTTATCACCTCTTGAATGTCAGAGATGTCAAATTATGTAAACATGAGCCACCTATATAGATGGAAGGCAGGTGAACAGCTCCAAATAAGCATCCTGTGCAATCCTCAGGGGAAATGTCCCACAAAATGCTTACTCCCACTTGATTCTGAGGAGTGAGCCTTCCCTTTATGCCTTCAAGAGACCACCCCCTCAAGAATCAAGAAATCCAGTTAATCCAGCAGAAAAGGCAGCATCAAGGTATCCTCCAGCACTGAGAGAGACTACAAGACTTCCTGACAGGAGTCAGACTAGAAAAAAAAATTGCTTGGGGGTTAAAAAATAAACAAACAAAACCTGGGAAGAACAGAACAGCACGATTCATCTGTGTGTCAGATGACAAACCCTAATCCCAGGCCATAAGGCAGAGGATGCAGACCAGTAAGGGCATGCTGCTGTCATGGGACTGGAGGATGACAGCAAACCTGTGTGCTGTTACTCTGGATGTTTCCAGAGTAAATATTCCGAGTGCCAGATGGAGAGGAGCCCTCAGAGCCCTGCTCTGCTTTGCTAGGCTGTGCTTTCTGCAGGCTGTGTCTCCCTGGTAGGTTTTTATTTGTGTGTACATCCTTTATTACTGCACCAACTCACACCCCAGTCAAACACAGCTTTCCAGGTGAGGGGCCACATCCTCCCTCCCCATCCTGGTCAGCCCAAACAGGCCCAGGACAGGCACCAGCTCCCCAGTTTCCAGTATCAGCATGAAAATGGGGTTCTGGCTGCTTTAATGAGATAATCCCATCTGAAAGTCAAACAAAAATGTGGATTAAACCCAGGGCAAGTTTGCTGTATCGGTGATTTTCCACATAGTCAATTAGCACGGGAATTCTGAAAGTGAAAGGAGGGCTGGCTAAAGCCTGTCTGTCAAAACCATGAAATAGTCCCCTACCCATAAAACAAACCTCTCCAAAATCTGCAGGCAGCTGTTCTGCCACATCTGGCCACCTTCAACTCTCTTCCCAATGCATGACAGTAAAACCACATATTCCAGGTGTGAGAGGGGACCTTCACACAGAGAGTTTTGTATCTGGAAGTCTCACTGGATTCACAATGAGGAAAGACCTCTAAAGATCACACAATTAACAAATCCTCATTAGCTGGAGTTCTACTGGGATGGCAAGTCAACCTTATTGAACAAACAGCCAACAGTCAGAATTCCAAATGCCACAGATGTGCATGGATTTATAGTTGTTTTTCAAATGGAATTAGCAAACAAAGTGGCCTTTTTGATTCCAGAGTCCAATATCAACACAGCTGGGGAGCCCAGCCACTGAAAGAGGGAACTGTGCTGTAAGGTGAGCTTAGAAACTCCTCCAGCAGGGCTGGGAGCCGTGGAGCTGCTCTGCATTCTGATTTATTTCTATTTTTAAACTTGCGAGGTTTGTAATTAATGGCTCGAAGACATGAGGAGAATTGGAACAAATCTCAGCCTCAGCTTCCTCTGCATGTTGTTAATGGCTGCTCTGGCCACTAATGTGCTCCAATTTTCCCCACATCAAGCTCATGTGATCCAAGCTGCAGGAAAGAGAGTGGATTTGTAATCGTCTCTCTGATGTACAGGATAATTGCTGACTTTTATCAGACAGCAGTTAAACAAAGGCTTGGAAAGAAATAAATATTCCTTAATTGCAGCACTGCCACTGCTCGCAGTGGGAGAGGCTCTGGAAGGAGTAGCTGGTCCCCATTATCACTGTTCCACACTCAGACATGTAGGAATGACTTGAGTTCCATGCAGGGGTTTATTTATTTCCCAACTGGAATGTGGCTATGTGCTTTTATCACCACGGAGAGCAAGGATTCCTGTGGGAATCTGCCACCCCTACACCCAAACACACAGACAGAGGAGCTCCCAGTTCCTCCCACCCAGGGAAAACCCTCCACGGGTGATAAACAGGTTTTACTCACACACAAGACAAATAAATGATCTCATTTTATCTGTGTGGAATTAGCACCGAGACAGAGCATAAAAAACATTTCTAGAGCCAACTTTCCTTTCCTGCCTGCTCCCTGTAAAACCAGCTTTGACTCCTGAAGCACTGCAGTCTGAAAAAAGACAAACACACATTTACAGCCCTGAATGGAAATGACTCCCTTGGAGCTGACACTTCCTTCTACCCCCAGGACATCCCAGTGAAAGAATCCCTGCACTTTTACATCCACAAATGTCACCAGCACTTAGTTCTGCACCTGTGATGCCTTGAGGACCTTCCATAAGTTAAAGAAGAAAAAAAAAAAGGCATTAAAAAAAAAAAATCATACAAACAATCCCTCCCCAAGCCCAGGTTGCTGTCAGGATTGCTGAGAGCTGGGCCTTAATGCTCTGGGTTTCTGTCTGAGGGGATCTGCAGCAAGGCACACATGTGAAGCTGCCACTCAGCAAATGCCCTAGAGTTTAGAGCCAAGAAAGACACAAAAAGAAAAGGAAATAATAGTGCTTAACATCTAACTGTGAGGAGATTAGCCAGGAAATAAAGAAAATAAATAAAATGTGTACACAGTGTGATGTGGGCTCACAAGAGTGCTGATAACAGATTAAACACTTTTATTTCATGTTTTCAACCACTGCTGTTTTTCCACTGTGCCTTTCCTACAGCCTTCCTTTTAAACTATCACAAACCCAACAAACTCATCCCAGTTCCATTTCAATAGTTCAAAATAGGTGTTTTGTGCCAGGAATTGTGAGACTCGTGGTCAGTGTGGCACCAGGCTCCAGACATTCCCAGAATCACAGAATATCCTCAGTTGGAAGGGACCCACAAGGGTCAGGGAGTCCAACCACAGGTGAACATCTAAAAGCTCAGGATTCAGCAGGCAATGTTTAATATTAAGGGGGATTAAGTGCTGATTAAAGGGAGCATCCCTCAGAACAACTTGGAATTTGCTCATTTTCCTCTCTTTGTGCCTGATTTCAGGAGATGGAGATCCAGTCCCCTCAGGTATTTTTAGGATCACAAAATTATTTAGGTTGGAATATCCTCTAAGATCATTAAGTCCAACTGTTCTCCCAGCACTGCCAAGGCCACCACTGACCCATGTCCCCAAGTGCCACATCCACATGGCTGTTAAAGAGGGGAACTGGGACTCCACCCCCTCCCTGGGCAGCTGTGCCAGGGCTGGACAGCCCTTCTGGGGCAGAAATGTTCCTGATAGCCAACAGAAACCTGCACAGCAGCTCTGGCAGCTCTGAGGAGACTGAAGCATGGTGACATCCCCCAGTTTAAAGGGTGCCTGTCCCCAGGATCCCAGTGACTCCAGGCCAGCTCCCTGTGCCTTTACCTTGCCATGCTCCTCCCAGGAGTTGCTCCAGGTCCAGTAGTGAGCTTTGTACAGCCCAGCTCTCACTGCCATCAGCTCGTTGCCACGATAATAGAAAATGGGCCTGGAAGGAGAGCAGAGCTGCATGAGAAACACCAAGAGCCCAGGCCCAGCCTCCTGATAAGGGCCACAAACCCCTTAATGGCATCCCACTTCCCATGTGGATATCAGGCAGGAACAGGCTGCCTCCTAATAGTCTCCTCTGCAAGGTTTTCAATTAACATTTCTTAAAGTGTGTTCATCAAGTTGAGAGCTCACAGGGTGCAAGAATGAAACATTATCCAGCTTGGCTGCCAGTGATTGTTAATCCTTGAACTCTCAGCCCCTGGGATTTCCTCTGGAGCGTGGCGGTTCCAGTGTCAAACAGCTCTCAAGTGCCTGCCTGGCAGGGAAAAGGGGATTCACGGGCTCTGGGATGCTCAGGCTCCTCTGCCCAGCTCCACAGCTCTGCCACGGAGCTGGCAATGCCACCTGGGCAGGGTGGAACTGGCAGTGCCACACGGGCAGGGTGGCCAGGAGGACACCAGATGCCGGCGTGTTCTGGATGACATCTCTGAGAAACTCCACATGGAAAAACCTGGCAGCCAGACATGCTGTGGTTTTAATTCCTCTCCATTTTTTCCCCCCAAACCTCACTTTGCAGCATGTAAACACGCTGCTAAAGCTGCACTTGTTCCCAGAGGTTTCCCTAATTAATAATTCATCCAGGAAATGCATCTCACTCGCTGCATCTGTGCTGTTCCCTGGGCATCCCAGCAACGTTCCTGTTGGTTTTCCCAACAAAACACTCCTGGTTTTTTGAGGGAACAGCACAAAATTTTACTGGAAGGGACTATCTGCAGGAGAGGGGGGTGATTTCTTGGTGCAGCTCCCCTCTCCAGCTCTTTTGGGCTGCTGACAGGACATGAGGGTGAAGCTGTTTGTCACTGTCAGGGGGAACCTCTATTTTTCCTTCTCAGATGCCACTCCAAAAACGACTCACTGTGGTGATGTCACCGAGAAAAACCTGTCCCTAAATGCAAGGTGAAATTTAAATATCCCTGTGTGAATGACAGGAGTGGCCTCAGAGCTCTTGTAGCCTCACAGTAACAATAATGAGCCTCCCTCCTTTGTCACCAAGAGCTGCCACCAGGAACAAAGGGGAAACAACTTTGTCACCAGGAACAAAGGGGAAACAACTTGGTCCCCAGGAAGAAGGGGAAGCTGCACTCAGAAAAGCCCATTCCTGCATCCTTAATGCACCTGGAAATGAAATAAAGGCAGCAAGAGAGACCTGCCAAAGTGCAGCACCTGATCTAAACCAGTGCCAACAACAAAACCTCCCAAAAATATTCCACACAGCACTCCAGTCTCCGTCTCCTTGCCATCAACAGCCAATATTTGATCAGTTATTATGTGCCCTCCTGACTGAAGGTTTTAGGTTTTTCCTTTTAAAAAAATACATTTTCTATTCTGAAGGAGGATTCCAGCTTGTATTCAATATTCTGATATAAATTATTTCTTTTCCCCCTCCTTCACTTTTTCCTTTTTAAGCTTAAAAGAACACAACAAATGCATCTCCTGGAAAGTTTTTTGGGGGCTGTGAAAACTTTGTCCTGGTCATGTCTAGGGGAAAAAAAAAGCAAAAAAAAAAAAGCAAAAAAAAAAGCCACAATGTGCTTTGAGTGACTGTTATGTAACACAAGGAAGGGGCTGGTGACTGCACTGAAATTCCCTTTCAAAAGAACAAAGAAACTTTCCAAACTTTCAGAAGATGGGCCAGGCTGTGTTTGAGGAACCTGCAAGGCTCCTGTCAGGTAACACTCAGGTGTGCTCCTTGCTTTAGAGGCACAAAAGGAATTTCACAGCACAAAGGCTGTCATCCAACAAGGAAAAGAGCTCCAAAAATGTTTTCCATGTATAAGTTTCCTTGCTATCTCCCAAAGAATATGGCTGTAGTCAGATTTCCCAGGCTGCCAAATTTTTCACCAAAATCCCAACTCCAAGACCTCTCCTGACCTCTGACACTTCCAATAAAATATTTCTTGGCAGGATTTGCTGTCAGATCTCGGTGCCTGTGCCCAAGAGCTGACAGCACATAAAGATTCCAGGTCTTTCACCCAAATCTATCCCTGCAGAAGCATTCCCAGATCCAGGACCTTGGGAAGAGGATTTTCCTGGTGTTTCCAGGTCCTGTGCAGCAGCACAGCCTTCACCTCCCAGCTCTGCAGCAGGACAAGGACCCAGCACACTCTGGGCAGCTTTTGCAGTGATAAATAATGGATTCTCCCCCAGCCAGCCTCCAGTTCTCAGGCTTTTATCTCCCCTCCTGCCATATGTTGTCCCAGGGATCCCTGCTAACCCTGTGACATTTTCATCTGTCCCCAGACTCCACTGTATGGCAACATGCCACATGTCAGGAATTCCCAGCTCAGCTTGTTCCAGCGGAGCAGGAGCGCAGGGGGAAGCTCTGCTGCTGCCTGCATTCAGCTTCCACCAAATACTCGTGAGCTGGTGATAAAAAACCAGCCCCAAATCTGGCATCCCTTCAGGCAGGAGCAGGGCTGGCAGCTCGGGGATAATCACTGACCTGTCAATTAGCTTGCCCTGCAGGATGACAGGTAAAAGGTCGATGCCATCAATCTGTCTGTCACTGGGAGGCTGCAGACCCGCCAGGGAGAGGCTGATGCTGAACAGATCCATCACACTGCCCAGCTGATGGCTGACCTGCAACCAAAAAACCAACAGAAACACATCTGCAAAGAGCCCTTCAGGAAAATCTGTATGGAAACAGGTTCCCTCCAAGCACCCTGAAAACCTCTCCCTTTACACTGCTGCAGTCACCAGTAAATTCCTCTGAAAACAATAAAGCAAAGGAAACAATCCCCATTTCTCCACTTCCAGGGAGAATTTGCATTTTGATTCTTTTTTTTTTTTCCATTTTTCTCTCCCTCTCCTCACTCCTGTGTATCCCTTTTCCAGGAGTGTGCTGTTGCAGGGCTCAACTTAATTTAGCAAATTCCAGCTCATTTGTGGATTGAAAAATCAGCACTTACACCAAGGGAAAAAAAAGTCCTTGATTTGTTCCCTTCTCCAGGTCATCTCTGGAGTCCAGAATACCCTGGGAGATTTCTCAGAAAGCACAGGGATAGATGGATAATAACAAAAAGAGCCTGATGACTTCATCTGCAAACCATTTCCAACAATTCAAGAACTGTAAAGTTGTGGTATTTTTAGTCCATATTTTAATAAGGGAGAAAAACATCTGGGTTTGGCTTCAATGGAGATGTGCAAGGGTTTTTTTCCCCCTTTTTCCTTACTTGGAAGCCACACTCATCTCTATGCTCTTAATTATTTATATTTTAAAACCCTACAAAGTCTGTTCTGCCTGATTCTTTGTGAGTCTTTGCTCCCTCCCCGGGTGTGGGAGTTGTTGCAGGGTGTTTAATTAGTCAGTGACACACTCAGTTAAAGCAGATGCTGCCAGATCAGGAGCACCAGGATGCAGCAGCACAAGATGTGACAGGAAAAGAGCATTTGCAGCCACAGCACTTGTAGGGAAACAAGAAACCATTGGATACAACCCCACAGCTGTGAGCACCAAAGCACTTTCTGACTAAAATCCAAGTCCAATCCCAACAGAACAATGTTGGGACTATCAAAGACCTTTTACCTCTGGTTCCTTCTACTCACAAACAGACCCCCAGCCTCTGAGCTGACACAAATTATTTAAATGCAACAAATGATGACACGATAAATGAATTTTTATGAGATGCTGGCTCAAAAATAAAGGGGAAAAAAAGGGATACTAAACCTTGTATTAAGAGTCTGGGCTGAACAAAGTGAACACAAAGGAAGAATTAAGAAATTAAAAAGAAAAAGAACTGGAGAAAGCAACATGCAGGGGCCTAATTACAAGTTTAACATTACAATATCACATTACTTGATTACAGTCATTTCAATTTTTAATGGCTTTCATTCATCAGGAGGTGTTGGCAGGAACACATCTTATTAAAGCTGCATGCAAGAATCCTGCCACAATTCCTTGGGAGGAAACAAAGTGCAAAGCTTGAAGCACGAGGGGGAACCTGGCTGTGGAAATCCTTGGGAAAGCAGCTGGATCAGCTGACCATGACCAACATGGGCCCTGGAGTTCAGGATTTATCCATGGACACGGCTGGGAAAGGTCCTGCTCAGCCTGGCTGAGGGGGCAGCCACAAAGGGAGATGCTTCCCAGACAGGCTGTGGTTGCCCCAGCTCCACAATTCCTTGGGAGGAAACAAAGTGCAAAGCTTGTTTGCAAAGAGGGGGAACCTGGCTGTCCCTGCACAGCGACATGGCTGAGGTCCCCAACATTTATTCTTTATTTTAGTGCAGCCTTTTCCTCTCCTTAAAATGATTTTAATCATCCAGTCCCACCTCCCAGCTCCAGCAGGGCCATCCCAGAGCACAGGGCACAGGATGGTGTCCCTGCAGCTCTGGGATGCCCCCTGAGGGAACTCCACACCCCTCTGGGCACAGAGGGAAGCTTTGCCTCATGTCCAGGTGGAACTGCCTGGGATCAGCTCCTGCCCATCCCTCCTGTGCCATGGCTGGGCCCTGGGAGCTGTCCTGTCCCCTCCCTGCACAGGGACATGGCTGAGGTCCCTCTGAGCCCTGTCCCTGCACAGGGACATGGCCAAGGTCCCTCTGAGCCCTGCTCTGTCCCCTCCCGGCACCTCTGCGCGGCTGAGGTCCCTCTGAGCCCTGTCCCTGCACAGGGACATGGCTGAGGTCCCTGTCCCTGCACAAGGACATGGCCAAGGTCCCTCTGAGCCCTGTCCCTGCACAGGGACATGGCCGAGGTCCCTCTGAGCCCTGTCCCCAGGGCTGAAGCTGGGCCATGAGCAGCTCCCAGCCTCAGGAGCTCCTCCCCAGGCCCATTCCCACCTGCAGAGCTGCAGAAGGAGCAGCTCCAACCCCTCCTGCTGCCCCCACCCAGCCCAGGAGGCAGCCCCTGGCTGAGCCCTTTTGTAATCAGAGCTCTCACCATTTCTCCATCTAATCCAAAAATCACTTTTCCTGTTGTGGCTCCGTCCCAGCGCCTCAATCTTTTGATAAGAGGCAATTGCTGACCCCGGGCTCGTGCCTTTAATGTCACCTCATTTATCCAGAGCGTGGGGACAATCCTGGGGGGCCAGCACGCTCCCCTTGTCCTGGCCCTTATTAACCAGCACCAGATGTAGATGACTCTCTTTAATCATCCAATTACGTTTCTGGTCTCAGACAACATTTTTGCCGTGAAGCAGAGAAAACTTCTTAAGGAAATTAAATGCCCATGCCATAGCCACTTGGATTTATCTGTGCTCTGCAGCACCACATTGAAGAAGGAAAAAGGGGAAAAAAAAAAAAAAGGTTAATGTTTATATAAAACTTTGAAGTATTTTCAGAGAAAAAATAAAAAAATTACCATTTTTCTCCTGTCAACAGGGCTCTTTCATTCTAGTTGCCTTTCCCTTTTATTTATTTCATTTTTTTTTCAAGAAAAGAAAAAGAAAAATCCAGAGAGGGCAACAGCCCAGAGAAAATAAATAATATATAAACGGAGGGAGATCAGATATTGCTGTATCAGTGAGGAACAGCCGGTATTACGCACGTAAGGACGGATTTTTTTCCCCCTCCTTCCCCCCCTTCTTTTTAATAAACTCTCAGTATCCACACAACGTCTTTAAGAAAATGAAATCCTTTTGCTGTGGGCCACGGCGCTGGAAGAAATAGTCCCCAGTGCTGTTATCAGTGCTTTCAAGCTTTAACTCTGAATCAAAGGCGACAATTAATAAAGTCGCCCCCGCCAGGAATGGAAAGGAGGAAAGCTAAATATTTGAAACTGGGTGAACAAATGTCAGGGTGTTTTTAAATAAAATCCTTTTACAGTTATCACAGCGAGCAGACCTGATATCCCTGTCTAATTCAATTTCAATTTGCGCCCCATGGGAGATAGGGAAGAAAAGGTTGCAATGCTGTCTTTGGGTTGATATGTTCTTTTCTCCTTCAGGAAGCAGGCACGAGAGAGGAAGGGGAGGAGGGTGAGGGGAGAGAGGAGGAGGATTCAAATACCAATAGAATATGATTTTTTTTTTCCAGCTGGATCCTTCCAGAAGGCAGATGTGATGTGGGGAATGTTGAAACGCTGATTTGTTGTGAATTCACCTGGAAAACGGAGCCGAGGAGGGAAGTGCAGCCAGGCTGTTTGTGTGGGAATAAATATTCCTGGTGGGGAGCAGAACTCACTGAGTGTTGATGCCAAGAGCAACACACACTCCTGAGGCATCTTTCCCCTCCAAAAACCTGCAAACCAGCCAACTGCACCAATTATCCCCAGCTCCACGGAGAGCCTGGCAGGTGCTCCCACCCTGTCCCTCACTCCTTGTGTTTGAGCTGCTCCTGTATTCCAGCACAGCAATGTGCTCTTTAATAAAAACAAAACCTCCCGAGCCTTATGGATCAATAAAATTATTAACAAACTGCCAGGTGGAATCATGGAATGGTTTGGGTTGGAAGGGACCTCAAAGCTCATCCAGTGCCACCCCTGCCACGGCAGGGACCTTCCACTGTCCCAGGCTGCTCCCAGCCCTGCCCAGCCTGGCCTTGGGCACTGCCAGGGATCCAGGGGCACCCACAGCTGCTCTGGGCACTGTGCCAGGGCCTGCCCACCCTCACAGGGAAGAACCCCTTCCCAATACCCCATTCATCCCTGCCCTCTGGCAGTGGGAGGCCATTCCCCCTTGTCCTGGCACTATCTGCCCATATAAAAAGTCCCTTTCCCTCCTTTTCCCAAGGCACTGCAAGGCTGCAGTGAGGTCTCCCTGGAGCATTCCCATCAGCAGACAGAGCTTTCCACTCAATAACTGGATTTCACTGGCCAGACACAAACTCTCCTTTCCTGGCTGCAGCTGTTCCACCTGAAACAGCTCCTGGCCCTTCTCCTGCTCCTCCTCAAATGGAAAGGAACAACCTCTGCCCTGGGAGCAGACCCAGCACAGGAAGGACCTGACCCTTCAGCTCTGTGCTGAAGTTCAGATCTCCCAAGCCTCTGCTTCCTTCAACTCTTGACAAGCAGGAGCAATGAGAGACTTTGAAGCAGCTTTCCCACATTTCAGAGCTACTTGGAGTGCACAGGACTGGGGCTGAGCAGTTAAAACTCCTCCAGAGGATGGTGAAGCTACAGCAAGGTACAGAAAAAGAAGCCAAAAACGTAGTGGTGGACACAAGTCTCTCACCTGTGGTCAGGGCTGCTGAGGGAGCAGTGCTGGAGCCTCGAAGGCAAGAACACAAGCAGAAAACACAGGTGAGTTTCTATCACAGTTCCTGAGCAGCAGATAAGGAGGATTTGAAGGTGAGCACGTGCTTAAGGCTGACACTGGCATGGTGGAGGAGGGATTTTGGGTGCATCCCAAAATCTGGGAGCTCCAGGCACAGCTCAGCTGCCCTGCACACACAGCTCTGCACAGCAATGCCTCTTCCCAGGAATTCAAGCAGCAGCTCCCAAAATCTACCTGGGAGAAGGGTCCCAGCCAGGCAGAAAAGAAGCAGGCACAAGGATTTCTCTCTCCTCCTGTTCTTAATTATCCTCAGAGTTACTACAATGGAAAGAATTTTTAAATTTGGGCATTTTCTCGTCCCCATTTATAATGCATGTTTACTTTTAGCACATTATTTAGTTTGGACCCAGCAAACAAAACACTCAGCTGCAGTTTCATGTTCTCCTTTGCTAGCCCAGGGCTGTTGTACTTGGCTTGCAAAGGCTTTATGGAAATGTTTAAATTTAAACAAAACGACTGTTTTCATTTCAAATTAGAAAAATAATAAACCATCCTTGGTAGGTTTGGTGAACTCTCGAAAAATAATGAAACCAAACCACCCTCCTGCCCTCAGCTGCAGATCTGAGCTGCCTCATGCTCCCTCCTAAATGTAAATGATAAATTATCATTAGCCTGCCTCAATTAAACCACCCCAACGGAATGCAACTTCCACAAATGTTTTATTTATGACCAGTTTGCAGGCTGGAGCACGGTGCCCAGCTAATGAAGGATCACTTTCTGCAGGGCTCAGAGATGCTCACCAGGGGGAGGGGGCTGTGCTGTCCCTGGGATCCTGCAGCAGGACTGATTGCATCCTTCTGTAATGAGAGCTGGGACAAGGGGGGCTGGCAGTGCCACTGGGGGGTTATTCTGAAGTGATCATATCTGCATTTGTGTACAGGCAGCACAGAGCAATCGTGTGGTGTCTGAACCTCCCTGAGTGGAACTTTCATCAAGCACCAAAGTGAGAGATGTGAGGGTCAAACCACTCGGTACCTCAGGGCATGGAGAGTGTGGGGCACAAATTCCTGCTCTTGGAGCTCCAGTTTGTTCAAACACACGAGAAATATCGAGGTCCAAGAGAGTAAATGGTTTAAAAAGAGCAGGAAGACAAGAGCAGAGCCTGGGTGCTCACAGCACAGACCCTCTAAATGGAAATTTGCATTAAAATGGCACAGTTGGCTGGGGCAGCAGCAGCTCCTTATTCACACAAACACCGGACTTGGGGCACGGTAAAAGTGAGAAGCAGAGCCCCCTGAGCCCAGCAAGGAGCTCTCCACGCCCTGCAGCCCCCCCAGGCTGCTGGGAGCTGCCCAAGGCAGAGACTCACCCCTCCTGCAGGGATGTGGCCGGGCCACCAGGCGATGGCCGGCTCCCTCATGCCACCCTCGAAGGTGGTTTGTTTGCCACACAGGAAAGGCCCATTGCTTCCTCCTGGGGACAGAAAAGAAGCCTTAAACCCCACAAAACACCAGCATTTCCAAAGGACACTCTCACCCAGGCTGCTTGGAAATGAATTCTCATTTCTGCATGGATGCTTCTTCAAATGACACGGCCAGAGTTGGGTTTTTGTCATTATTTCCTTGTTTGTTGTGTTTGTTTGTGGGGTTTTTTTTCAATATCCATTTGTGATGAAATTTTAGGAGTGTCTTTTCAGCACGGGGAGAAAGTGACAGTTAAACACACCTTGCTATCAACAACCAAATTAAAAACAAACCCCAAACAAACAGGAAATACCTCACTGGTGCTCTCCTTTCCTCTAAGGGTGTTAACTGCTGTCTGTAACCAAAGAAAATCTGACACTTTCAGGCAGAAATAGCATTTTTTCATAATTATTTAAAATTTTGTAGTACCAGAACAATATCAGATGCAGATATAAGAGAGAGAAAAACAATCCTGCATTCCCTGAATGGTCACTCAGAGATGGCCAGGGCTTTGCAGGAATATCTGGAGTTTTAACCCAGCCCTGGAGCTCAGCTGGCCAAGGAGCAATCAGGGAGCTCTCATAACTGATTCCAGGTCACACAAAGTCAAAGCCAGTGGCTGAGCTGAAATGAGAACTCAGGTTACTCCCTGCTCTGTGGTTCAATAACCACAAGCCAAGCCTGGCTCCAAAGAGAAGAGAGCAGGTTCTAAAATCAATTTGCAGTGATTTGTTTCAGAGAAACCATCACTTAAACAAAAGAAAATTTGTTAGCTAACAAAAATCGTTTCTCTTCTTGATATTTTTCATGAGAGCTAAAGAATGAGGGACTCTTGAAGTGTCTCTAATTGCTCAGAAGGCTGAAATATGCATTTGGCAGATGGAGAGTAAACACCCTGCTAAGTTACTGAGCCTGGTTCTCAATAAATTACAGAATATTCCCTTCCTGACAGTGCAAATACACACAGGTAACAGCAACACTGGGGCAGGAAAAATTCCATTTGGCCAAGGACACCTCCTCCAACAGTGACCAGAAGCACTGAACATAAATTATTCCAAACATAAATACTCTGTCTTTTGAGGCTTCTCCTACCTCATAACACAGACCCCACACGCAGGGCTTTTTTTCTCCTCAGAGAGAGAGATTTAAGCCTTGATTTCCCAAGGCCAGGTTTGTTCAGCTGAGCCTCACCTTGCTTGGGAGCTGAAATGAGAGCAGCCCCGTTATCAGAGGTGAAAAACACAAAGGTGCTCTCACTGATGCCCAGCTGCTGGAGGTGCTTCAGGATTTTCCCAACGCTGTCGTCGATTTCCCGCACAGCATCCCCATACCTGAGGCAAAAGGAGGTTCAAAACACTCAAAATAGCAAAAAAAGGGTCAGCACAATGTGTTTAGTGGGTTTAATTTGTACCTGTGCTGCAGAAATCCTTCTCATGCATCAGGTTTTCTGCTGCCACTGCAAACTTTTGTGTCTCTGGCCTGCAGAGAGCAGCCCCCCGTGGGCATTGAGGGTCAGGGTTTGCTCAGGTGTGAGCCACTCTTGGACACAGGAATTCAGCCATAAAATTCACAAACAGAGGCAAACCCACCTTGTCACAGACTGGGAGGTAATAACATGGCTTTCCTTATGGTTCGAAACTCTTTGAAGCAACACTCCCAGTGTCTACAGAGCTCTTTGCCCCTCCAAACTGCATTTTTAGGAGTGCTTTTCTATTTGCTGGTCCAATTTATAGGCTTTTAAAACAGGCACTGATCATACAAAGGCCTTCTAAAAAATCATCTGTGCCACAGACAGCATTTCACTCCTCACATAACTGGCAAAGAGGCTTAGAGCCCCCCTCCTCCCCCTGGGGTCACGTGAGCTTCACTTCTCATTAAAGCCAAATTATGAAAGAACAATCCAAGCAAATAATGCATTTCAGCACACACACACTTGAGGAGTGATCCATGCCTTGGATCTACCAGCCAGTGCTCAGGCTGGCTGTTCCAGCTGCAGGAGGAATTCATTAAAACAACCCCAAAAAGCAGAACTTACAGCCCTCTCTGACTCGTGCCCAGGAACTGTTTGGAGGCATAGACAGGAGCGTGGGTAGCATCAATTGCCCAGTATAAAAAGAAAGGCTGCTGGCTGGCCTGCTGCTTGCTAATAAAATCCAGAGCTTCCTGTAAACAGCAATAAAAATTAATTTATCCTCTGCCGTCAAAATTTCCCCCCCCCAAAAAATAGCAGAAAGTCACCTTGGCTTAGAAGCCAGCACTAAAATAGTACCTGCAGGTAGAGCTGAGTCAAGTTGGCTTCACCTGTCTTCAGATCAATTTTGAAATCTTCATAGTATCTTAAGATAAAAGGAATCAGAGAGGGGAAAAATCAATCCTAAGGAATAAACATCAGAAAAAGGATTTTTTCCCCTTTTGTGGATATTTTCCCCTGTGTAAGGAGGTGACAAACACATCACAGTTAACACCCAGCAAACTCTCTTCAGACATTAAAAATATGTCACCATAATTGTTCTTATGGGACAAAGTGGTGACACAGCTTGATGCAAATTAATGACTTCGAGTTTTGGACAAACCTGAGGGACTGGCCTTTTGCTGTAGGGGGCAAAATGCTTTAAAATCTCATGGTGATTCATAAAGAGCTGGTTGAAATGTGAATAAAATCTCAGAAGTACACAACAACTTCCAGTGAGACAGAGAAATGCCGGAAGCAGAACCTGGAAACATTATTTTAGAGCTTTGGAAAGCTTTAATGCTTTGGAAACATTATTTTAGAGGGATCTTCAGCCAGCAGTAAAGCAGAGAAGGGTCTGGGGAAGTGCTCAGGGGAGTAACAGCAGTGAAATGGGACAACACCAGAGTGAAAAATGAATGGACAAGAAGGGCCCAGACTGCAGACTGGGAGCAGGGAATGGAGCTATGCAAACACACAAAATGTTACTGCAAACAGGAAGAGAAGGAACAAAGAGGTCTTTCAGTACAGAATGGGAGCAGCTTCCAAGAGGGGAAGCCTTTAGGGTGCCAGGGATGAGCAAACAGCCCTGGGAGGGCAGCTCCACATCCCTGCACCATGCACATGACACTTGCAGGCTGCTCATGGTGTTGCACCTTTATTAACCACAGAACCAGGGGATCCCAGAATGGCCTGGCTTGGAAGGAGCCCTAAAGCCCATCCAGGTGTGCCAAGGCAGCAGGGAGAGCCCAGAGAAGCCCAGAGCCAGGCCAGGAGCTGGGTTACCTGCCAACCATCTCCCAGTCCCTGTAGATGGGGATGTTGGGGCGCTCTGTGCTGTTGTAGGGCCCAAAGTGGCAGTTTGGGGACCCAAACCACTCATCAAAGCCGTGCTTCAGGGGGTGGAACTGGGGCCGGTGCCCCAAGTGCCTGCCAACAGAAACAGCAGCTCAGAGTTAAAACTACTGCAGAAAGACACACCTCAGCTCATCAGAACAGCATGCAAGAACACAGTCTCTGCCTGAGAAATCAAAACTCAAAGCATTTCAATCACAGAAATGACTCCAGAGCAGTGTCTTGAGCTCTCTCACACTTGTTGCAAGCACAGCCATGCAGACTCACCCCAGTGCTCACTTATATTCCACTTTATTTACTCTCCAATCACTGTTTTCCATTTTTTCCTTCCACTGGTGTCTTCTCCCATGCTGTCTGATGATCAGCACTGATGGACTACACTGCCCCAAACCACTGCAGAGATGTACATAATGTTTCACTTAAGGATTCTGATCTATGACAAGTCCCTTTTATCCCACTGAGCTGTAAAAACACAAGGCAGAGCTCATGAAATGCACCATTCCATCCTCATCCCCTTTATGGAGCATTCACGCTGCCAAAATGGTACAAAGAGACCTGAATGGAAATGAAATGAGGTTTTTGTGTGCACATGTGGACATAAAACACATTTAGCTACTCCTGATGACAGCTCCTCTCTACTGTGCAGCTTGAAAATCCTCCATCCTTAAGCTCCAGATGAAGCTCCTCTCTAATCTCCAGGTTTTGTACTGCAAATTCCACATTTCCTGCATTTATAGCACCTTGAAGACAGAGAATTCCCATGCTGTCTGTCTCTAAAGGGGATCTTGGCAGGTCAATGTTTATTTAACCATTCCATCTTCCCCTCACGAGCCTGGATCTGCCCCCTGTCCACTTTGTGCCATCTCCCTCTGCACTTTCTGAGCATAAAGGGCATAAAATGCATACCCTGGAGGGAAATGATCCTTGGAGTTACTCTGAGCTGTTCCAAAGTGAGTTATTACAGGAATAATCCTCATTTCAGCTGTGGTTACAGCTTGGTGATGGAACTGCCACTGCAGGTCTGACCTGCAGGATTCCATCCTTTCCCCTTCTGTAGATGTGGGAACACAAAGTTACAACAGGGGAGATGGAAAAAATCTTATTCTACAAAAGCCCTACAAGAACTTACAGAGACATTAAACAGTGACTGAGATCCAGAGCAGTCTCTGCATCTCACAGCACAAAAAAAAAGAGATTTAATGAAACACAACAAATTCCACACTGGTCATGGAAAATACTTGACTTGCAAACTTATAATCAAACCATGGAATTTACTGTCACAGGACACCCTGAAGAGATTTTAGAAGGGATGATGAAACAATAAGACAATTTTCTGCTGGCAAACCTCTGTGAGGCCAGGATGAGACTCCAGTTTTACCCTGCATTTCTACCCACCTTTCCAGGGAGCAGGTATCACTCCCAGCCCTGTCCAGGAGAGGTTTTTGGATGCACAGTAATGCCCTGCACATTCCTCCTTAGCCCTATTCCTGCTAATAGCTGCAGGTCCTTCCAGATTTGCCTTTTTTCCCAAGGAACTGGCACCAATCTGCATTTGCCTTGTTTATTCCTTTTCCCTGGGTGTATGAATTTCCATTTATTAGCACTGAACTGCAGCTGATTGCACCCAGCCCACTGAGCTGATCCCTCAGGGCCACTCTCCTGCCTGGATTTGTGCTGATAAATAATTCACTATCTTAGGGTGCTTTGCTTTCTTCCCATTTCCAGCAGGTGAATCCAACCACGATTCAAACTCGCCCTTCTCTAACTTGTTAATGAAACTGATAAAGAAATTCCTGTTACTTTCCACAGGAATTCAGTTCATTAATAAAATCCCAACATATAGCAAGAGTCAAAGATAAAAACCACGTAAGTGCTCAAGGCAAATTCCAAGAGAACATCCTGGTGTTTTCTGATTAAATAAGTGGTGTGAGGTGTGGATAAAAGGCCAGAGTTGAGGAGTTTATAAATACAAATACACACATAAAACCTCATCAACTCTTTGTATGAAGACATATGTAAGTATTTGTAATGGCAACACTCAGGAATTGATCCCAGCAGAGGGAAGATCCATCACACTTTCCAAAGCTGGACATTTGGGCTTCAAATCCGGGTTTTTCCCTGTAATTCTGTTTTTATTGCTGCTCCTTCCCAACACACACACAATGAAATCTCAAAGCAAGAGACCTCCAAATAAATTTACCATTTGCCAATGATCTTATTGGTGTAACCAGCTTTCTTCAGGAGCTCTGGAAGCAGTAATTCAGAATCTGGGATTCCTCCTACTATGTCCTGTGGTGTGTATGCTGTGGAAAACAAATCAAAAACACCTTTCTGACTCTCCAAAACATTACAGCAAACAGCTCATGTACTGGATCAGAAAGACACTCGTTTGGAGCCCCAGCAATGCCCTTCCTTGGAGCCCTCCCATGGGATGGAGAGAATAAATCGGTCCAGGGAGACCCAAAGGGAGATTTCCACCCACTTGTGCACAAGGGCAAATAATAAAGGGAGCTGCCACCCCCAGAGGGGAGGTAAGACCCTTGAAAGGGAGATGTCATAGAAAATCAGGTGCTTCAGGGATGGTCTTTATGCTGTAAATTTGCTTTGTGTTTTCTAAAATGAAGGCAGCCTTTTCCTAACTCAAATAACCAACAAAGGTGCTCAGACTGCAAGGGCTGATCTGATTTATTACAGGCTGGACTTGATGATCCCACAGGTCTTTTCCAACCTAATTCATTCTGTGATGCTGTAAGAAATGAAGAGTATCTCTCAGTCCCTGAGGCTGCCAGGTGTGACTGTGCTCAGGGAATCAACCCCAGGCTGCTGCTTCCTGCCCAGCCATGTCCCAGCACGTGGCATTTGTCACTCTGGGACCCACAGCAACCCAGGGATCTTCCCTGGGAGCACCAGAGGGATGGAAACCTGCTCTAAAGCTGGGTGGAAATCTGCCTGCTGAATAAACCCGTGAGCAGGCAGCTCTCCCCTGTGGGTTTTACACCCCCACCTGATTTTCCTTCACCAGACCCCAATTCCCCTGCCCAGAGGAAACATTTCTCAGCCAGCAGAAACAAATGGATCAAGCAGCCTGGTTTATCCTCCTAATTTGAGGAGGTTTTCTGCTTGATGAGGAGGAAGCAATAAAGTTCACACTTATTACCAGCACTTAACAGGGTTTGGTGGCACTCTGGAACATCCATGGGGAAGATCCCCTTTGTCCAAAGAGAAACTTGCTACAAGGCACAGAGGGAAATCAGGAGGGGAAGGGAGGGAGGGAGGGAATGAGGCTCCTACCATTCCTGGCGTGTCCATTGGTGGTGTAAAAGCCATTCCTGACCGGGAGCCGGCCTGTCAGCAGTGCTGCCCTTGCTGCAAACAACACAAACATTTCTTTACAGCCATTCTCTGCTTAACATTCAGATTATTGTAGGAGGATGAGGGCTGCACACTGACTGCAGTGTGCAGTGTCCCCTTGTCACAGCCAGCCACTAAATCACTCACACTCTCCCATGAGCCACAGGGAGAATCAGTTCTGATGCATCATTTGAGTTATTCCAGCTGAAATTTGGCCCCTTTATTAAATTAGCCACACTGAAGAGTCATTCCTTTGAATAGTCAATGGAGCAACCCTTACAGCTCAGTTATATATATATTTATTATGTATTTAAGAGGAAATCCTAGCACAAACTGATTAGATGCTCAAGGCTAAGCTTTCGAGCTTGACTGAACAAAAATGATGAAATACAAAGAAAGAGCTGTCCAGCTTTGACAATAAAAGTCAAGTCCTGACTGCAGGGAATATTTAAACAGATGTTAAACTTCAAGCATATGCAGTGCCACCACTGGCTTAGCAGGATTTCAGCATATTTTAAATGCCTTTTCTGAGCAAGGACATCATCAACACAGTGGCAAGTGCTATCCTAAATGAGAGCCCAAATAAAAAGCCCCCGTTCTTCATTTTTGCTTCAGTTCTTGGCAGCTAATCAGGTTTGAGGAGAAAAAGAAAGCAAAAAAAAAAAAAAAAAGAAACCACCTCACAGAAAAAACAACAAGGAGAAAAATATCTGCCTCTCCCAGACCCAAACGTTCTTTTTATCTCTTGTCCCTGTCCCAGGAGTCTTGTAAGACACCAGGGTCAAAAGCAGGACACAAACTGCTGCCTTTCCTTGCATGAACGTCCCACCAGAGCCAACAGAATCAGACCAAATATGTCCAGCAACAGATCAGATCCTGCTTTGTTTAACCCAAAATGGGAAAGATGAAAAAAATGCAGTGACTGGGGTTGCAATACTGAACTGAAATGGTACAAAAATCCTTTAGCTGCACTGATCACTGAAGCAGTGCTTTGTACAAACTGAAAACTGTCGGGTTTCCAATCCAAACAGAAATAAAAAGGGAGCAAAATGCAAGATCAAAGCAGCAAATCCAATCTCTGGCCTGAGGGCAGGCGCTGGTTTGGTTGTTAGCCATGTCAGAGGCTGGCAAACACCCCAAACTGCTCAGAGGGAGATGCTTCTCATGCTTACGTGGTTCCAACTGCAGTGTACTTACAGGGAGAGCAGAGGGGGCTGGCAGTGTAAAAATCCAGGAAAAGCATCCCTTCTGCAGCCATCTGGTCTAGGTTAGGGGTTTCCTTAGAAGGCTCTCCGAAAGCTCCCAAATCCCCCCAGCCCATCTGCAAAAGGAACACACCAGGAGATGTCAAAATCCCTTTCCATAACCACATTTTTGGGCCCACATAACACTTTCACTGTACCCCTTAATTGATAAAGTTTTACAGTGCTCAGCACCTCACAAATGTGACAGAAATGATCTCTGCCAGCCCTGGGAGCAGGGAACTCACACTTTTCCCTGGTGGGTGGGAAACTGAGGCACACACAGGATTAAATGATTTACTAACAGGGATTAAAGCACTTGCAAGAAGCCCAGTGCTTTCCCTGTTACTCAGAGGCCTGAGGCACACCCAGAGCAAGGAGGAAGAGGAAGTTACACGTGGTTTACTCGGGGTGGTGCAGCTGCCATGTCTGAGCCCTCAGCCCCTGCCCTGCTGTCTGTGCTGCAGGATTCCACCTCAGCCTCTGCATCTGTCCCTCTGCAGCCCTGCAAACACAAGCAGAAGGCCTGAACTCCAAAGCAGCACTGCTGCAAAGGCAAGGAAGGGTTATAAAAGCCAGAGGAATCTGCACCACCAGTCCCTGTGCTTATCTGCAGGACTGTGGCTGCACCCTGCTCTCCCTCCTGATCCCAGGGGCCACACGCCAGGAGAACCACAACATTCCCATCAGGCTGTCTGTGCCCACTGCTGAAAACCACTCCTGGGAGAAGCTCAGCTGCAGGCAGAAGGTTCTGGAAGGGAGCAGCTCAATGAGCCATAGGCAGCACAGGTGCTGGGATCCTGTGCTTTGGGAAAGGCAAGGTGTGTGTCAGCTGAGCCATGGCTGCATCCAGATCCTCAGGGAACCATCTGCTGCCATCAGCTTGGACTGGAAATCCCTGCAGGGATGGTTCCTGAGCTAAGGGGCAATTAAATGGTTCCCCCTGGCACTGGCATGAGGGATTAAAATGGATTCACCCCCAAGTTCTTGATTGTTCTTTATCATCAAGGAAGAAAGACAAAAGGAATCTCATGTTGCTCTAATTCCAGAGTCCCTGAGGATCAAGGGAAAAAGCCCAGGGAGAGGTGTTTGTAATGAACATATTCAATAAATCAATAGTTCACAGAAGCTGCAGACAGGAGCCTTGTGCTGTACCAACATTTCCAGAGTGGGAGAATCCCTGTCCCAGAGAGCCTGCCTCTGGAAAATTACAAATGCCAGCCTGGGAGGGGGAAAAATTCCTGAATGGAAAACTGAGGTCACAGGATTGCTGAGCTTGCTAAACACTCTGAGTCCCAGCTGTCCCCACCTTGTCCCCAGCCCAGGCACTGAGCGCAGGCCCCGCGCCGCGCTCGCCATGGCAACCGCGCCGCGCGTGACCGCGCGCCGGCCGCGCGCCGCACGTGACCCGGCGGGGCGGGGCCAAGATGGCGGTGTGCATCGCCGTGATCGCCAAGGAGGTGAGGGGACAGCGGGGACAGCGGGACACGGCCGGGACACGGGGTGCGGGGCCAGGGGACAGCGGGCCCAGCTGGCGTCATGCGGCCTGAGTGGGGCCGGGTGGAGCAGCGGGGTCTGAACAGGGAGCGGAGGCCTCGGGTTGTGGGGAACAAGAGATCAGTGGGGCCTGGGGAAGGGGGAGAGGGGCTGGGCCTCAGGTTGTGGGGTTGAGGGGAGTGGGGGTCGGTGGGGTCTGGGGAAGGGTGAGGGGAAAGAGACCGGGGCTGTGGGGCCGGGTGAGGTTGTGGGGTACGGGAAAAGGGAATGGCAGGATTCAGGTTGTGGGGCTGAGGAGAACAAGAGATCAGCGGGGTCTGGGAAAGGGTGAGGGGCTCTGGTTTTAGGGTCTGAGCAGGACTGGGGCTGTGGGAAAAGGGAACGGCAGGATTTCATGTTGAGGAGAACAGGGGATCAGTGGGGTCTGGGGAAGGGTGAGGGGAAGGAGGCCGGAGCTCTGGTTCTGGGGTCTGAGCAGGGCTGGGGCTGTGGGACGTTGTGGGGTATGGGAAAAGGGAACGGCAGGATTTCAGGTTGTGGAGTTGAGGAGAACAGGGGATCAGTGGGGCCTGGGGCAGGGTGAGGGGAGAGGTCCGGGGCAGTGGGGCCGGGTGAGGTTGTGGGGTACGGGAAAAGGGAATGGCAGGATTTAATGTTGTGGGTTGAGGAGAACAAGAGATCAGCGGGGTCTGGGGAAGGGTGAGGGGAGAGGGGCTCTGGTTTTAGGGTCTGAGCAGGACTGGGGCTGTGGGCAAGGGGAACGGGCAGGATCTGGGGTTGTGGGGTCAGGGAAGCAGAACAGAGCAGAGCCAGGGGCAGTGGGGCAGCCACTGGGGGGAAATGGGCTTGGCAGCAGCACAGGCACGGTGTGAGGGTGCTCTGGGCTGCCCTGCTGCTGGGACAGAAGGGTTTTCCTGGGGACAGACAGACACAGGCTCTGCTGGGACTGGCGAGCAGAGACCCTGGGGGGAAATGGGCTTGGCAGCAGCACAGGCACGGTGTGAGGGTGCTCTGGGCTGCCCTGCTGCTGGGACAGAAGGGTTTTCCTGGGGACAGACAGACACAGGCTCTGCTGGGACTGGCGAGCGAGCCTCGTGCACTGCAAATGCTTCTCCTGCCATGGGGACAGCTGTGCCCCAGAGGTGCTGCAGCGTGGGGAGGGGCTGTGCTGGGAGCACGAAGGGTTAACCAGCCGTGGCAGCAGCAGCTCCCAGGCAGTGTGCCCTGCTCTGCTCCCAGAACTACCCCCTGTACATCCGGAGTGTCCCCACGGAGAACGAGCTCAAGTTCCACTACACGGTGCACACCTCCCTGGACGTGGTGGACGAGAAGATCTCGGCCATGGGCAAGGCCCTGGTGGACCAGAGGGAGCTCTACCTGGGCCTCCTCTACCCCACTGAAGACTACAAGGTGTATCCTTGGCAAGCCTTGGGCCAGGCTGTTGTGGGTTTAGTTCAATCCCAGAATATCCTGAGCTGGAAGGGATCACCCAGCCCGACCCCACCCTGGGCATCCCTGGCAGCATTGTCCAACCTCTCCTGGAGCTCTGGCAGCCTCAGGGATGTGCCCATTCCCTGGGGAGCCTGGGCAGTGCCAGCACCCTCTGGGGGAAGAACCTTTCCCTGATATCCACCCCAAACCTCCCCTGGCACAGCTCCAACCCTTCCCTGGGTGCTGTCCCTGTCACAGAGAGAACAGCTCCGTGTCTGCCCCTCATGAGGAGGTTCCTGTCACTTTGTCCCTCTGGACATGTTCCAGGCTGGTTTATGGCTATGCCAGCCCTGCCATGAGGGAGGCAGGTCCTTAACCCCTGGTTGTGGCCGTGCCAGCCCTGCTGTGCCAGGCAGGTCCTTAAGCCCTGGTTGTGGCCATGCCAGCCCTGCTGTGCCAGGCAGTCCCTTAACCCCTGGTTGTGGCTGTGCCAGCCCTGCTGTGCCAGGCAGTCCCTTAACCCCTGCCCAGGTACGGCTACGTGACCAACTCCAAGGTGAAGTTTGTCATGGTGGTGGATTCCTCCAACACAGCCCTGAGGGACAACGAGATCCGCAGTGTGAGTGCCCCACAGCAGAGCCTCCTGAGCTCTCCTTGCAGCTCCCCAGGACGTGCTGAGGAGCAAACAATTGATAACTCACCTCCCCTCCCTTGCAGATGTTCCGAAAGCTGCACAATTCCTACACAGACATCATGTGTAACCCCTTCTATAACCCTGGGGACAGGATCCATTCCAGGTGAGTGCATCTTTGGCACCTTTCTGGCATCTTCAGGGCACCTCTGATGCAACAGGCCCAACCTGTGCTGGGCCAGCTCAGGGGTGTGTGCTCCAAGAGCCTGAATGAGAACAGTGATGTTGGTTTGGGGTTTCATTCCTACTCCTGGAAAACTGATGGTGTCATAAAAAGTTCTGCTGAACTCTCACTGCTACCTCAGAACTGGGCTTACAAACATTAAGTCAAGAATTTTTTTGGGGGAGAAAAAATTACCTGAAAATAGAGGTAACAATAGTTGGCCTTGAATAATTGTGACTGTTAAAATGTAGTAAGTAGAACAGGTTAGAGTGAATAAGTGCCCTTGTCCAGGGTTTATCCTTGTAGGGACAAACATTCAGCACATGGAATTCCTCACCTGTGAGGGTCAGTGTCCCCCATTCCCACTGTAACCTCACAGGGAATTTTAATTTTAATTAATGGTGAGTTTCTACGGCTCAGGCAAGAACAACTTTGCAGACCCAGAGCAGCAGCCAGGATAAGACCTGTCCTTACCTCAGCTTCATTAAAAGTCATTAATCCCTCAACAGCCTGAGCTGTGAAGAGGAAAACCTCATCTCCAGCTTAGGGAAAGGCAGGCAGAGGCAGGGTGAGAAAGTGGTTTTGTTACAAGAGCTGTGCAGAATGAGCTGCTCCCTTTAATAACCTGTGCTTATTTCCCTCTCCAGGGCTTTTGATACTATGGTGAACTCCATGATGATGCAGGTGTGCTGAACCCCTTCCCACCCCCCTGGGAAACATTCCCTGTGTGCAGGAGCATGCCTGCAGTGCTGTAAATATTCCATTCTGTGTAATAACTTAAATTTGTTCTGTGTAAAATAAACCTGCTGCCTGCAAGCTTTGCCTGGATTTGTACTGGAGCAAACACAAACCACTGCTCACAGAATCATGGTGTGATTTGGGTGGGAGGGGACATCTTCCAGTGTCCCAGGTTGCTCCAAGCCCCCTGGATCAAGAGGAGCTCCGAGGGCCCTTCCAACCCAAACTTTTCCAGGAGCTTTCCCTGCCTGGGCTGATTCCTGGGTGACTCAGGCTGCTGCTACCACCCTGCACCTCATCCAGACACGCTGCACAGAGAATCCCAGCCCAGGTAGAGCAGCTGGAATAAGCCCACCCCATCCATGAAGCCAGCAGGATTGCACAGCTGCCTGCCTCATCCCAAATTCATCTCCATTAGCATCTCCTCCCCTGCAGCTCCCTGCTGCTCTAATTACAGACTCCCAAATCAGTAGCAGGTATTTATCTGGAATAAAGCACAAATTGCACTGAAAAGCATCCCAGCTCCATCACTCCTGGTTCAGCAGAGGAGATGCAGGCAGGAGCAGGCACACACAGCTCTACTGCAAGCACCTCATCAGTTAAAAACCACAGAAAGCAGCTAAAAATAACAGATCTGCCCAGCCCCAGGGGAGCCCAGGAGGCTGGAGAAAGCCAGAACTGCACTTGAACTTCACACAGCAGGATCATTTATTTTAAAAATAAGTAACAGCTACAAATACTTTCTCAAACAGAACTTAAGTACATTTTATCAGCAACCACCTGGAATATCATGGGAGGTTCAAGCCTCTCCCACCATCTCCACAAGGCACAGCTGTGCACTGTTATCCACAAACATTTTCATCTAAAAAATTAGGCTGTTTTCACTCACAGAGATGGCAGCTCAGTGTTGCCTCTTCCACTAGAGAGTCCAAACACCCCAAAGTAGTTTTTTATTTAAAAATAAGCCTCAAAAATTTATAATCCTATCAAACAGAAGCCCTAGAAAAAAGCTGGTTTATAGTCTAAGCCTAAGGGTAGCTCAAATCAAGGTCAGCCTCAGCAGCTCTGAGGACAATATCAACACAACATGAAGAGTTAAGGCCCCAAGCTTTTTAAAAAATCTAGAGATCTTAAAGGGGAAAAAAAATCAGTGGGATTTTTAGCCTGGCAATGCCCCTGAGCTGTGAAAAGCTGCTTTAGGAGTCGGTTGCATCTGCTGCATCTGGGTTAGAGGAATCCTAACCAAGGATCCCGAAAGATTAGTGGGAGAATTACATAATAAAACCCATTTCCATGCAGAACTTCTTCCCAGGAATGCTGTGTGCCAGGGTTCCCAGCCTGCCCATTCTAACACAAAGCTTCTCCTTTAAAAACACAGGGCTGCCCAAACACAAATTCCGCAGGAAAGGGAAGAGCCAGGAGCCTTCCTCCCTGGTAGCCAGCCCCTGTGGTGCTCTTTGGTCCTGAGCCTCCTGCAGGGCCCACACCATCCCCAGATGTGACTCCAGAGCAGGAATGGTGATGGGAATAAAGAGGGAGACAGACCAAATCTGCACCAGTGAAGGTGGTTTTGTAATGCTGCTACTGCAAGAAATAAAGTCAAGTGAGGAGCTGCCAGCACCCTTTGACCCCCGGAGATTGGAATAAAAGCAGGAGGGAGAGAAGAGGGGTTTGCTGACAGCCAAAATAAAAAAGAGGAAGGGTTTTGTGGCACCCAGGTCTTGCTTAACTACCACAGAGACACAGAGGCTCCCAGAGAAACAAGAGATGCTTTTCCCCTGTCCTGGATGTACAAAGTGAGGTAAAAACCAGACCCAAACCACATCAGGCTTCCCAAGAGGAAGGTCACATCCATAGGGCTGATGAAGGGAAAGCTCCCCAGGTCACATCCATAGGGCTGATGAAGGAAAAGCTCCCAGCAATCAGATCTGGAGCTGCAACCCAAAACTTTCTTCATTGATTTGGGAAAGGAAACAGTCTTTAGGGTCTTAGAAGAAGAGAAGGCTGAGCATCCAGCTGCTGTAGGAAGAGCTGAGGAGGTTCATGGCCAAGCAGTGGCATTGAGGTCATGCAGCCAGGCAGGAGCCAAACCAAATCCTCCAGGACAGCCCTTTTCCATGGGATAAGGAGACTTGATGGTCTGGGAGAGCTCTTCCATTCCCAGGACAGTGTTCTCTGGAATGAGCCTGTTCTCTGTGCAAGCACAGCCCCCCGGGCAGAGCTGAGGTGGGATGAGCTCTCCTGGATGCTGGCAGGGTGGTGCAGATCCCATCTTCCCTCCTGCAGCCCAGCACAGGGCTCACCAGTAATCCTCACGGCCAGGCAGATGGCATTTTTAAAATTAATCTGTTTTTTGGCTTGGGCAGGCATATTTTTAAATCTCTCCAATCCCATCTCCTTGTTTCAGTCCCACTGGCATCACCAGGCAGTCCAACCTCTTCTAGTATGGAAAATACCAAGGCAGCAGCCTCGCCCGACCCCTACACAGAACAAAACCAACATCCTGAAGCACAGGGGCACAGCTCCCTGCTCCTTCCCCCTTGGAGCCCTACAATCAGGCTGGGAGTGCAATGCCCACCCACCCCTCCCCAAATTCCTGCAGGGATGAGGTGACAACGCCAACTTTGCAGCGAGTTGGGAGTTGTCACCTCCAGAGTCCTCCTCCCTGCTCCCAGCCATGCCGGGCGGGACGGGCACAGCCCAGGCAGGGCAGCAGGGACCCCCCAAGGGCAGACTCACCTGTAGGCCCTCCCTCGCAGCCGGGGCTGCTGCCCGTAGGGGCCCCCCCAGCGGCCCAGCCCGCCCCGGCCGTGGCAGCAGCCCCGGTAGCCCCCGCGGTCCGTGCTGCTGATGCCGGGCATGTTGGTCCTCTTGGGCAGCACCTGCGGGGTGGGGAGAGGCTGCTGGAGCTGGGGTTTGGCCCAGCCCCAGGCAGGCAGGGCTGAAAATGGGGGGAGCAGCCCCCCAGGGGCTCCCCCAGCTCTCACCTTGATGACACGGCCCCTGAAGACGCTCTCGTCCAGCTCCACCGCGGCCTTCACGGAGCTCTGCTCCTCGAACTCGATGTAGGCATAGCTGTGGGGAACGGTGTGAGCACAGCCCCAGAAACACCCCACAGACCCCCCCAGCCCTCCCTGCACACAGCACTGACCCTTTGGGGTGGCCCGAGAACTTGTCACAGAGGATGGTGACGCGGTTGATCTGCCCACAGCTGTTGAAGTGAGACTCCAGCTCTTCTGCTGTGCCCCCGTAATCCACCTGCAATGACAGCCCCATCCTCAGCTCCTGCCTGTGGCATCGGATGCCTTGGGGTTTAGCCTTTATATTTTTCAGGTTCTCTGCTGCCTGGTTGTAACTCTGAAACTTTCTATGAGGTGTTAGTAGGTTTTCTTCACAGGGTAGTTGGACAAAACAATCCCTTCCCAGCTGGACAGTCAAGGACAAACATTACCCAAAAAGCACAAACAACAGTGAAGGGAAGGGGGCAAGCCAGGGGGCTGAGACTTCATGACCTGCAGCTGTAATTAGACAATTGAACCCAATATATAAATAAACCAAACTTATAAAAGTGTAAAAACTTGTGACTGGGATCCATCTTGGATTCCACCTGGCTGTAGCCCTGGCGCTGCCCAAGGTGTGTCCTTTTAAGGCCTTTCAGTAAATACCTGTTGTGTCCATTTAGCTCTGTCTGGTCTCTGTTCCAGACCAGCCTCTCAAGGCAGCAGAGCCACACCTCAGCAGGGGAGGCAAAGCTGGCCCCACTCACACCCCAGCACAGCTCAGCCCCTGTGAGGGTCAGGGCACCCTCCCAGCTGAGGGCTCCCACCTGAACACAAATCAAACAGACAACCCGCCCTGTTTTGGAGGAACAAACAACACCACGCAACCCACAGCTTCCAGGGGGGGTTTGGGGAGCTGACACCTGCAAGTGGCAGATAATGAGGACATTCCCCAGCTAGGATGGGAAGAGCCAGGCTTTGGTGGGGGGCAGATGCACAGCAGGGATTTGGGGGGCACACACCCAGCTGGGCACAGGGCAGTGGGAGGCTCCCACTTACATTGCCCACGTAGATGGAACGCTGGTCAGCCTCCATCTTCTCCTTGGTTGTCAGTGGGAAGAGAGCTGTGGAGAGGAGAGGTTTGTCATGGACAGAGGGACATCAGTCTGCTCCCAGCACAGCCACCCCAAGCTCCCTGGTCACACCCAGGTGTCCCCAAACCCTCACACTGCTGCCTCCTCCTCCACCCCCTTGCCAATTTTCTTTTCACAGTGACTCCTCTACTGGGGCTCTTGGTACCAAGCTCAATTATTTGATTGAATCAAATGCAATTAAATTAATTTACTACATCTGGGCCCACACAGGCAGGAGGTTAGAGCTGATGGAAGGTGCATTAGCACCACACCAGGCCTGGAACCCCCCTCACCCACCTTATGTGCCCAGTCCCAGGTGCCCAGAGAGGCAGAGCCAAACACTCTGGCTCCAGTTGTCACCCTGTGCCCCACAGGTGTCCCTGGGGAGGGACAAAAGCACCCAGGGACAGCCCATACCTGCTTCTGAGTTCACAAACAAGTGGTTCTCAGCTTCCAGCTGTAACTCCTTCAGCCTCTCATCCTCCTTCTCTATTTCCCGCAGTTTGGCTTTGATGGCCTCCAGCTCCTGAAGCCCAAACCAAGAATTGCACGAGCAGCACTCGGAGCAGGGACACCCCAGCTGTAAAAAGGTCCCCATTTCCCTTGGGCACCAGGGGAAACTGGCTCCCATCACCCAGGCAGGCACTCACCGGGTCCTGAACATCCTGCTCCTGGGCGCCGTGCCCCTCCTGGGGGCTGGGATCGGAGCCCTCATCGGCTGCCTTGCACACGGCTGCCACCTCTGTCACGTCCCAGGGCTCCTCCTCCGCTGGCAGGGACGGGGGGTCCTGCCACCAGATCTCCGAAGTGTCCAGGAAGAGAGGACTGGGCGGGACAAGGGGCACAAGGGCATTGAACCAACAGCCATTTAACGTGCCAGCCAAAGCACAGCCTCCGCCAGGCAGACTGGCAGGGCGCTCCCAGCGGGACAAAGAGGTGACATTAATGCAGCTGCCTCTCTGCAGCAAAGCCCCAGGACTGCCGAGCGCAGCCAGAAGCCCTCCAGCTCACACCGAGCCCAGTCCCAGCTCACGGGGGCTGCACAGGGGACCTGCAAGCAGCTGCCCTAAAGCGGAAAAAACCCCAACGGCACAGGGCGGGCAGAGAGGGAGCAGCCGGCAGCCCTGCCGCCCCAGCCGAGGAGAGCCGCACCCTCCCAACCCCCGAGGGGCACACGGAGGGGCACGCCCGCCCACCCAGGGGAGCGAGACAGCCCACCGGGGAGCGGAGAGCCGCCCCGGCTGCAGCCCGGGGAGCCGCGGCACCGTGCCGGGCGGGCTCCGGGCGGTGCCCAGCGGTACCCAACCGTGCCGGGCGGTGCCCAACATTGCTCAGGCGGTGCCCGGGCGTTGGCCAACCGTGCCGGCCAGTGTCCGGGCAGTGCCCAGCCGCTGTCCGGCGGTGGCCAACCGTGCTCGGGCAGTACCCAGCCGGTGTCCGGGCAGTACCCAACATTGCCCGGGCGGTGCCCAGCCGGTGCCCGGCGGTGGCCGGGCGTTGGCCAACCGTGCCGGGCGGTGGCCGGGCAGTACCCAGCCGTGCCCAGCCGGTGTCCGGCGGTGGCAAACCGTGCTCGGGCAGTGCCCAGCCGTGCCCGGCGGTGGCCAACATTGCCCGGGCAGTACCCAGCCGTGCCGGGCGGTGCCCGGGCGTTAGCCAACCGTGCCAGCCGGTGCCCGGGCAGTGCCCAGCCGGTGTCCGGGCAGTGCCCAAGCAGTGCCCAGCGGTGTCCGGCCGTGTCCGTGCCGAGGCCCCGCGGCCCCGAGCCCCGCACGCACCTGGCCCGGCCCCCGAACATGCTGCGCGCGGCCCGCGCGAGAGCGGCGACCACGTGCGGCTCTCCCGCCACCACGAGCGGGGCTCGCGCCCGCGCGCCACTTTTCACGCGTCAGCGGCCAATCAGGGCGGGGCGCGCGCCGAGGCCCCGCCCCCGCCGGCGGGACGCGGAAGAGCTGGGGGGGAGCGGCGGGGGCGGCCCCGGGAGTCACGGGTTCGAGACCCGGCGGCGCCGTTCAGCTGGGGCCGGTAGGTGTGGGCAGGGCTCCCCGCCCCTCCCGGCGCAAGGAGCCTGCTGATGGGGCCAGCTGGCAGCGCAGGGGCGGCAGGGGGGCACCCCAAGGGTGCAGCTGCGGCAACAGGTGGGATACATCCCTCTGAGTGCCCCTCGGACACACCTGAGTTACCCCGCCATGGACACCCCTCCTTTGCAGTGCGCGGCCCCAGGGCTGTAATGAGCCCCCCGAGCCAGGAGTTGGGGCACAGGGTGCAAAGCGCTGCCAGGAGTGGGGGATGAGGGCACCCAGCACAAGCCCAGGCCATGGAGCCTCTGGTTGATATTAAATTGTCTTTATTACACAGATACAGAGTTAAGAACAGACATAACCTGAATCATAAAGTTTACATCTTTCACAGGTCAAACATACAGTACACTTAGAGAAAGCGGGGAACAGCAAGGGGGGACAGCATGCCGAAGGAAAGTCCTACCACATCATCTCTCTGGGCTGGCCCCTCGCCCCACCCCGGCCTGGCGGGGGCTCTGCCCTGCAGCCCCCCGGAGCCCCCCGTGCCCACGGCAGGGCAGGGCTCGGTCCCGCAGGGGGGGACACCGGCACCGCCTCCCTCCCGGGGCCGCTCGGTGACACCGGAGGAGCCCCCGGGGCTGCCACCGCAGCGGGGACACCCCGTCACAGTGCCTGGGAACACGCGGCAGCTTGTCCCCAGCCTCGGAGCCACTGGGATGCACAGGGGGACCCCAGCAGCCCCCGGAGGAGGAGGAGGAGGAGGAGGAGGAGGAGGAGGAGATGCTGCAGGGGAGTTCGGGGGGCTCTGGCAGTGATGGAGCAAAAGCCAGGCGGGTGTGGGACCCCCGCTCCAGCCTCGCCGGGACGTGGAACTTTGGTTTCAGCCGGGATTTTGGGTTGGGAACGTGAGGAAGGGGCTGGAGAGGGGACCCCGGTGAGAGCCACGTCCCTCCTGCCACCTCCCCGGGCTGGTGCCACACCACCCAGCGCCCGGGCTCTGCCTCCCCGCGGGCACTGCGACACGCTGTCCCCGTGTCCCCAACCCCGTCCCCCTGCCCCCGGCCGGGCTGTGCCAGCACCGCGCTGCCCACCCGCTGCCACCCCCCAGGTGCCACCAGAGGGGCACACACGTGGCACACGTCCCCTGCCCCCCAGCACCACCACTGGGGGGCAAACCCCCCGGGAACCCCCCCAGCATCACCGCGGCCCCGCGGCCGCTCCGTCCTCCCCGCAGCACAATTTTTATTTTTTATTATTTTTTTGGGAAATCTGACATTTAAAGCTGTCGTTCTGGTTTGGCCGCCCGTCACCGCCGTCCCCTCCCTCAGCTTTTGGTTTCAATGCAAGGTTCTGTAGGGTAGCTTTATTCTTAATTAAAAATGAAAAAAAAAAAAATCATAATTATTTTAAAAAAAATGGAACCAGCAGGGAGCGGAGTGGAAAGGAGAGCAGGCCCCGGGGAAGGGCTGTGGCCCCGGTTTCCTGGCGAGGTGGAGGTAGAGAGGCAGAGCCCCGGCAGGAGGGGACAGGAGGGGACAGGAGGGGACAGGCAGGGACAGGCCGGGCAGCCGGGCGAGCAGGGGCATCTGCAATACTCTTATATATTACCTCTTCTCAGGAAACGTAAGAAAAATAGACAATATTACATATGTCACACCATAAATAAAGTGAACAGTCACGGGAGGGGCGCCCGGCAATGCTCCCAGGGTTGGGGGTCACAGAAACCACCCAGGGGGTGCACCGAGATCTTGGGGGGCACAGAAATGTCCCCAGGGTCGGGCCAAGACCTTGGGGTGCACAGGAAACCCCTGGGAGGATGCACTGAGACCTTGGGGTGCACTGAACCTTCCCAGGAGGATGCCCCAAGGCCTTGGGGTGCACAGCAACCCCTGGGAGGATGAACTGAGACCTTGGGGTGCACAGCAACCCCTGGGAGGATGCACCAAGGTCTTCGGGTGCACAGGAACCCCTGGGAGGATGCACCAAGGCCTTGGGGTGCACAGAACTTTCCCAAGAGGATGTCCCAAGGTCTCGGGGTGCAGAGAAACCTCAGAAGAGGAACCCTGCGAGGATTCAGCGAGGTCTCGGGGTGCACAGGATCCCCCCAGGGTCTCAGGGCGTGCAGAACTCACCCAAGGTGATGCACCAAAGTTTTGGGGTGCACAGGAACCCCTGGGAGGATGCACCAAGGCCTTGGGGTGCACGGAACCCCAGCAGGGCCGGGTGACAGTGGCACAGGGCCGGGTGACAATGTCACCAAGGCCTTGGGGTGCACAGAACCCCTGGGGGGATGGACTGAGACCTTGGGGTGCACAGAACCTTCCCAGGGGGATGCACCAAGGCCTTGGGGTGCACGGAACCCCAGCAGGGCTGGGTGACAGTGGCACAGTGCCGGGTGACAGTGGCACAGGGCCATCACCCTTGGCGTGTCCCAAGCTCTGCTGTGGCCCAGCCCAGCCCCGTGCCCGGCAGCACAACCCGAGCCCTTCCCTCCTCTTCCTCCCCTACGGAAAACACACGGGATGGGTTTTGCGAATGCGGAAAACCTACAGCTCCTCTCGACGGCAGGCCTCGCTCCGGGCAGCGCCACGGCCCCACGCTTCCTCCTCGTCCTTTATTTGGCAAACGTCTCTTATTATTATCACTAGCATGATGATGACGACGATGATTGATTTTTGGACCTCTGCAGACACTATTTACATTCACATTAGCGCACAGCACTGCTGCCTCCGCTCGGAGCTCGGACTTCCCGTATTGCACTTCCGTCCTCCGTGCCGCTCCGGCGAGGCAAGAATCCCAAAGAATCCACATTGTCCTTGGCCAGGAAGGCGGCGGCGTTCCTTTTCCTTTCCTTTTCCTTTTCCTCTTTAAAAATCCTTGTGAAACAAGTCCAGCGCGGGGTGTGGGAGCAGCCTGGCAGTGAAGGGATGGGGGGTCCCCCGACAGCTTCGGGGAGGGAGGAACCCAAAATCTGTCTTTTCATTTCCTTTTTTTAATTTTTTTTTATTATTATTCACTTTTTTTGTTTTAAATCTCCTTTTTGTTCTCCTTTTCCAGGGTGGTGGCGGGCAGAGGTAGAGATGTGCCAGCTCCGGCTGCGGTTCTCAGCCCCATCTCCCCCTCCCACGCCTTGGGGGTTGGGGTTTTAGTAAAAAAACACCTTTTTTTTTTGTTTTTCTTTATTTTAATAGAAATTCTTTAAAGCCCCAGGGGCATGTCCATCCATCCTTGTGGGGAGGGGAAGTAAGCGACAACAGAACGAAACGAACTTTGGCAGTGGAGAGACGTTTGGATCTTCCTTGGTTTTGGATTTCCTTTGGAGCAGAGGTGAGTCTGGTCTGTTCTTGGCTAGCTAGCAAGGTAGTTACAGGTGAGCGTCCGTCACGCGTCGTCTGGTTTTTGGATTTTTCCTTTTTTTTTTTCTTTTTTTTTCTTTTTTACAATTTCTTACTTAAAGCCAAAGAGTTCGATGTTTTCTTTTTTATTTTCTTTATTTTTTTTACAAAAAAAAAAAAGGTAAAAAGAAAAAAAAAAAGGAAGAGAGAGATGAAGAAAGGAAGGTTCTTTCCTCCTCCAAGTGAGCCCCTCGGCAGCGCTGATGGGGGATGGGATCGGGCTGGTCTCTCCCCACAGCACTGCTTGGTGATGCTGGAGCCAAATCCCTCATCCAAAGAGCAAAAAAGAAAAATAAAAACAGCCAAAAAACCCAAAAAATCCCAAACCGCAATCCCCCAACCGACAGAAAACCAACCGAAAAAAGCCAAAACAAAGACTGAAGAAAGAACAGAGACCGGTATTTGCCTTAACTCCACTTAAAGCCTAGCTTGAGGATCCGTGAGGATTAGTTGTGAGAGCTAGAGAGGTCGTTTCGGAGGTCACACGAGTCAGGTAGCTGAGGAAATGGCACGGGGTGCAGTCCGTGGCGGCTCAGCGGGACGCGCTGTCCAGCGGCGCCGGCGTGGCCGGAGTGCCGGCGCGGGACGCGGCCACCGAGCCCGCCTCGCTGGGGCTGCTGGCCATGGCGGGCACCCCGTCGGGCTGGCCCGGGCCGGGCGCGGCGGGGCCCGGCAGCCCCTGCAGAGTCTGCCCGCAGACGTGGTGGTGCTTCTCCCAATCCTTGTGCTGGCAGAAGGAGCCGCAGTAGCGCGCCGTGTTGCAGCCGCTGCACGTCTCGCTCGCCTTCCGCCCGCAGTTCCAGCAGCTCTGCGGGAATGGGAACACGGCCTCAGCTCTGGAGCGTGCACCCCAGCACAGGCTGTGCACCCTCACCTGGGACTGGGCACTCCATCATCCCAGAGGGGGCACATCCATCCCAGAGGGGGCACATCCTTCCCAGAGTGGGCACATCCATCCCAGAGTGGGCACATCCATCCCAGAGTGGGCACATCCTTCCCAGAGTGGGCACATCCATCCCAGAGCGTGCACATCCATCCCAGAGTGGGCACATCCATCCCAGAGTGGGCACATCCTTCCCAGAGTGTGCACATCCATCCCAGAGTGGGCACAACCTTCCCAGAGTGGGCACAACCTTCCCAGAGTGTGCACATCCTTCCCAGAGTGTGCACATCCATCCCAGAATGTGCACATCCATCCCAGAGTGGGCACATCCTTCCCAGAGTGTGCACATCCTTCCCAGAGCGTGCACATCCATCCCAGACCGTGCACATCCTTCCCAGAGCGTGCACATCCATCCCAGAGCGTGCACATCCATCCCAGAGCGTGCACATCCATCCCAGAGCGTGCACATCCATCCCAGAGTGGGCACATCCATCCCAGAGTGGGCACATCCATCCCAGAGTGGGCACATCCATCCCACAGTGGGCACATCCTTGCCAGAATGTGTACATCCATCCCAGAGTGTGCACATCCTTCCCAGAGTGTGCACATCCATTCCAGAGTGTGCACATCCATCCCAGAATGTGCACATCCATCTCAGTCTCTGCACATCCATCCCAGAGTGTGCCCATCCATCCCAGAATGTGCCCATCCATCCCAGAGTGTGCCCATCCATCCCAGAGTGTGCACATCCTTCCTAGACCGCGCACATCCATCCCAGAACGTGCACATCCATCTCAGTCTCTGCACATCCATCCCAGACCGTGCACATCCATGCCACACTGTGTATTTCCATATCAAACCAAGCACACCCATTCTGGACTGTGCTCCCCTATCCTGAACCAGGTCCCCCTAATCCCAGACCATACAACCCTACCCTGGACCATGCACAACATCCCAGACCACGCACACCATCCTGGACTGCATCCAGGACCATGCTCCCCATCGCTGCCCACACCCTGCATCCCCATCTCAGTGCAGGAATTCCCCTCTCCTCCCACCCCTCGCTCCCATTCCCACCCTCCCACGCAGACCCTGCGACCTCCGTGGCAAGAGGAGCAGGTCCCACACAGCAGCACTGCCACCAAGCCATCCCCAGGGTCCCCACCTCGCTCGAGTCCTCCTGCTGATTGATGACGGTGAGGGCATCCTCGGACGCCTGCCGCTTGGCCTCGGCCAGGGCCCGCTCCATCTTGGCGCGCTCCGTGGTGATCAGCTCGTGGGCTTTCCGCTCGGCGTCCGACACGGCCTTCTGCAGCTCGGACATGGCCTGGCGCTTCACCTCGTTCACGGCTTCTTCTGGAAGGCAGCAGCCGAGCGTGGCCGCGCTGTGCCACGGCCCCAGCATCCCCCCTTCCCGCAAAACCACCCCAAATTCCTCTTGCAGGCATCCCAACGAGGGAAGCTGGGGCAGAGCTGTGCCCTGCCGGGGCTGTGCCCACCCCGCACTCACCAGCCTTCCTCCAGATCTCCTCGGGCATGTACCCGGAGAGCGGCCGCGGCGCGAAGTCCCGGTGAGCGTCTGCCAAGGAGAGAGATACCCTCAGGAGATGCCATCCCCTTGGAACGCCCCTGCCAGCATCGCCAGACCCCCGGGAGAACGGCGCGGGCACCCGGAGCGGGCGCAGCCCCCGCACGCGGCCCGCGGCCCCGGGGGTCAGTACCTAACTGGGGAGCCTCGGCGGCGGCGGAGGAGGAGTTGTGGGGGCGTGCGGCGGGGGGGCTGCCTTTCTTCATGTCCTCGGCGTCGCTGTAGCGCCGGATCCAGTGGTTGAGCTCCTCGCGATCGGCCTCCTGGCACCGCCGCAGCACCGTCAGCGACCGCCGCGTCTTCTCCACCATGTCCATGATGCAGTTCAGCAGCTGCGGGGGCGACAGCAGGCATGGGCAGGGGGCTCTGCTGCAGGCAGCTGGGGTCTGCGGTGCCCGGTGCTGGGCAGGGGGATTTGGGCTATGCCGGGCTGTGCCAGCTCTGGGGTGCTGTGCTGGCTGGGGAAGAAGAGGATGCTTGGGGATCGAGGGATTGAGGGCAGAGTGGAAGGACGCACACACAGATGGGGCAGGGACTGAGGGCAGAGTGGAAGGACACACAGACAGGTGAGTCATTGAGGGCAGAGCGGAAGGACACACAGACAGAAGGGGCAGGGACTGAGGGCAGAGCGGAAGGACACACACACGGGACAGGGACACACGTACGTTCCTCGGCGGCGGCGGAGGAGGAGTTGTGGGGGCGTGCGGCGGGGGGGCTGCCTTTCTTCATGTCCTCGGCGTCGCTGTAGCGCCGGATCCAGTGGTTGAGCTCCTCGCGATCGGCCTCCTGGCACCGCCGCAGCACCGTCAGCGACCGCCGCGTCTTCTCCACCATGTCCATGATGCAGTTCAGCAGCTGCGGGGGCGACAGCAGGCATGGGCAGGGGGCTCTGCTGCAGGCAGCTGGGGTCTGCGGTGCCCGGTGCTGGGCAGGGGGATTTGGGCTATGCCGGGCTGTGCCAGCTCTGGGGTGCTGTGCTGGCTGGGGAAGAAGAGGATGCTTGGGGATTGAGGGCAGAGTGGAAGGACACACACACAGATGGGGCAGGGACTGAGGGCAGAGTGGAAGGACACACAGACAGGTGAGTCATTGAGGGCAGAGTGGAAGGACACACACACAGACGGGTGAGGGACTGAGGGCAGAGTGGAAGGACACACAGACGGGTGAGGGACTGAGGGCAGAGCGGAAGGACACACAGACGGGACAGGGACACACGTACGTTGTTGAGGTGTTTCCACTCCTCCGCCCACTCGCGGTCCGTGAGCCGGTGGTCGATCACCTCCTCCTGCCGCGTCCCGTGCACGGCTGCAAGGCAAGAGCAGAGCAGGGTCAGCCCTGTCCCTCTGGGGGCTCCAGCCCCGTTCCCCCCTGCGTGGGGACAGCAGCGCTCACCGGCGGGCCGCTGGCGCTCGCGGAGCTCCCGGGGGTCGGGGTGCCGGTAGCTGTCGCGGTAGTGGTGTGCCATGGCCATGTCCTCCAGGCGGTAGTGCTGGGGCAGGGGGGGGCCGGCCGGGGGGTGCCCCAGCCCGTTCGGGGGGTGGCTCAGCCCGTTGCTGGGGCTGTAGCGCTGCGCTGGGCTCATGGTGCACGGCCGCTTGCTGAGGTGCTCGGGGTGCAGGGGGTCTCGGTCCAAACCGTTCTCTTTGGTCCTGGCCGGAGCAGAGGAGGTTGGTCCCCACTGAACCCCCCGGAAGAACCTCCCCTTTCCAGGGCTGTGTCCCTGAAGAATCCCACACATCCCTCCCTGGCTGGCACCTGTCTGGCGTCCTCCTCTTGCCGCTCTCGCCCACCTCCAGGAGCAGCTCGGAGGAGTCGATGGGAGAGGAGGCGTTGGCGTCCAGCAGCAGCTGCTCGTGCTGGGCCAGGTACTGGGCCGGGGTCTGCTTGGCCATGCGGGCGCAGTGCAGCAGCTCCCGCTGCAGCAGCGGCAGGTTGGCCTGCGGGGAGGGGGGTGACAGTCCAGTCCAGAGCCCCAGAGCCCCCCAGAGCAGCCTGGCTGTGCCCCCAGCTCACCACGGGCAGGGGGTGCGAGGGGGTGCCTTCCCTTTGGGGTCCTGCTCCCTTTCCCCAGGGCACAGCCTTGGGATGCCAGTGTGCCCAGGGGACAGGTGGGCTTTTGGGGGATGTGTGTGACACCCCATGGGTTCAGACACAGCTTCAACAGAGCCCTCCCGCATCCAGCAGGGGCTGCAGAGCATCATCCCTGGGCCAGGTCGGCCACCTCGGCCACCCTGTGCCAGGACTGCTCCCTGGGAACTGCACCTGTGGGACCCCAGCCCTGTGGCACCCACAGCTGTAAGGATCAGCTGTGAACTCCCCTCTCACCCACCCACTGTATCCCCCACGGCGCTGCAGCCCCAGGAGCAGCAGGAATGAAGCAGCAGAACCCCCTTTTGCCCGGCGCTCTGGCTGCCAGCCCTGGATTTTGCCTCAGGCAGCTGAGCCGCAGCCAAATCCCATCTGTGGGACACGTTAGAGCCCGAGCTGCAGTTGTGGTGAGCAGGGCCAGACCCTCCCTCCCCTTCCCTTCCCTGGCCGGGGGGGAGCAATCCCACAAAAACAGCGAGTCCCCAGTCTGGGAAGCACGCCGAGGCCGGCTGGTTGCAGTTAGGATAATTGGAAACATCTGGGCCGGGTGGTGGGAACAGCTGGGAGCGGGGTGCCAGGGCGGCCGCTGCGCTCCTGGCACCGGGACAGCGGGGATGGATCCCAGCCTGCCTGGAGCCACGGGGCCGCCAGTGCCTGCCGGGCCTGCCCTGCACCTTTCCCTGCTCCCACGGAGCCCAAAATCCCTGCGAACTGGACAGGAGGGGAGGGGGCTCTGCTGTCCCCCTCCAGCTCAGCCTGGAGCAAACCACTCCAGCAGATTCCTGGGATGAGCACGGACCTCCACGCACAGACCCTGCTCCGGGGGTGCCATGCAGAGGTGGAAAAGGGGCTATTTTTGCACTTTTTAATTATCCCTTTGCTAACAATGGGCAGAGGACACCGGGCTCAAACATCTGCTGGCAGTGCTGGTGCTGCCAGGCGTGCCAGCACCAGGCAAATCCCTCCGGAGCAGGGTGACACTGCAGAGTCAGCATGAAATTAAAAGGCAAAAAAAAAAGGGGGAATTTTTAATGGATTACAAATGGCAACCAGCTGGGCTGACCCCTTGCTTTATTGCAACCAGCCCTGGCCCTGCATGACTCCACACGTGTGGGGGCACACGGGCAGACCCACAGGCAGCTGCCAGCCCCAAAGCCACCCCCAAACCCCCTGTGCTGAAATGCTGCTACAAATCCCACCCTGCCCAGGCTGGAGACCCACCTTGAGGAAGGGGATGACAAAGGGTCGCAGCGGGAAGTTGGTGGCTTCTTGGAGCTTGGCGTGGAACTCCTCAATGGTGAGGGTGGAGTTCTGTGGGGACAGCCTGGGCTCAGCACCCCTGGCACAGCCCCCCGCACCCCTGGGGGACACCTGGCTGCTCCTCCCCCATTTCTGCTCCTCTGCCAGCCCCACAGGGAAACCACACTCAAGGGAAAACCACCCTCAAGGCTTCACTGGCAACGCCAGCAGCCAGGACCAGCCCTGCACTGGCTGCGCAGATCCCAGGAGGTGCTGGAAAAACAACCCCCTTTCCTCCAGGATTTACGTCAATCTAGGCCACTCTTTCCCTTTCAGCAGCATCTCCATCCCCACAAGAAAGCACAGGAGCCTCAGAAGCGGGGTCCCCGTGGCCGAGCCCACGGACGTACCACGAGCCCCAGGACGAGGGTGCGCACCCGCTCCCCGATCTCGGGGGAGATGTCGTTCCCAAACTGCTGCAGGGTGGTGAGGAAGCGCTTCAGCTTGGAGAGCTGGCGGGCACCGCAGGCCGGAGGGAGCTGGTGGGTGGACAGGGAGGCGCTGGAGGAGGTGGCTGGCCCGTTGCTGAACCCGTTGGGGGTGGACGGAGCCCCATTGATGGCGGTTGGCGAGTGGCTGCTCCCGTTCATCACTGGGGAGACAGAGAACGGGAGGTCAGAGCGGGTGGCTGTGCCCTGGCACCGTGGGGACGGGGCTGGGATGGTAGGACCAGAGTGTCCTGGTGGGTAATGCGGGGCTGGCACCCCCTGGAAGGCTTCAGGATGCTGGTGAATCCCTGGGGCTGCATCCTGGACTGGTCCCGGTGCAGTGGGGGCTGTGGGGAAGGAAGGGATGCACAGCATCCCCCAGCACAGCGAGGGCCTGATCCAGCTCCTCCACAGCCAAGGCAGCCAAGGGAAGGGCTCCATGCTGCCCTCGGGGGGCTGCTCAGCACCCCCAGAGAGAGCCCAGGAGCCATTTCCCGTGGAGCCAGCCTGGCCTGCAGGACACTGCCACCTCTGTCCCCACTGCCCGCTCAGCAGGGACAGGAGCTGCCTGAACACCGCACACCAGCACACCGGGGGGATATTCTGGGGTACCAACCACCAGAGCAGCAGGCACCAGCCCCATGTGAGCACAGGGACCTTTTCCTGGCTAGCACAGGACAGCACCCCTGTCCTGATGGCGCGGATGACAGCACACATCACCCACGTCCCGACATCATGGGTGACAACATGGCTCACCCGTGTCCCAGTGGCGCACCCACGTCCCGACATCATGGGTGACAACAAGTGTCACCCATGTCCTGATGGCACGGATGACAGCACACATCACCCACGTCCCGACATCATGGGTGACAACAAGTGTCACCCGTGTCCTGATGGCATAGGTGACAAGTGTCACCCATGTCCCGATGGCACGGGTGACACCATGCATCACCCATGTCCCAGCCAGCACGGGTGACAAGATGTGTCACTCATATCCTGACGGCACAGGTGACAACACGCATCACCCATGTCTCAGTGGTGCAAGTCACAACACACATCACCCGTGTCCCAGCCAGCACGGGTGACAACACGCGTCACCCGTGTCCCGACGGCGCGTGGCCCGTGTCCCCAGCACGCCCACGCCTGTCCCTGGGGCCGCACTGACCTGGGGGTGCCGCGCTGCCCTGCCAGCCCTGCCTGCTCGGGGGGTCCCGCTCGCTCTCCGGCCGGGCAGCGCCGCCCGCTGCAGAGGTGCCAAAAATAACCCGGCGGCCACAAGCGCCTTTATTGCCGCGACAGGTGCGCTCCCAAGTTGGACACCACACGTGTCCCCGGCCGGGATGGGGCTGGGGTCCCCGTGAGCCGGCGGGGCAGGGCGAGGGGCTGGCGGCGGGGGGCACGTGGGGGCTGTGGCTGCGCTCGGGTCTCTCATGAGAGCGGGTGTTTCATTTTACTTACAAAGACAGACCATCGACCATTTCAAGCAACCATGAAAACGGCCGCGAGGCAGAAACGTCGGAGGGCCAGCGTCTCGATCTGCAAGCAAAATAAAACACGCTATGATGAGAGAGCAGAGGGGGCAGCTCTCGGCCCGGGGCCCTGCAGGGGATGCTCCTCACCACGGGCACATGGGCCATGGGCAAAGCCACCAGACCCACCAGGGAGCCGGGTCCCTGCGTCCCACCGCAGCCACACGGAGGGTTCAGGGGATGGATGCTCACTGCTTGATAATGTCCTGACAGTTTAGGGACCAAATGAGGTCCCCCAAGGCCAAGAACAACCAAAATGCTGTGGTGTCCATGCCAAGCTGCCCCATGCCCCCAGCCTTGTGTCCCAAACCCTGCTCTGTGCTGAGCTGGGATCGAGGGGCCGCCTGCACCCCTGGCCCTGCATCCCAAACCCTGCTCCGTGCTGAGCTGTGGCAGAAAGGCTGCCTGCACCCCTGGCCCTGCATCCCAAACCCTGCTCCGTGCTGAGCTGTGGCAGAAAGGCTGCCTGCACCCCTGGCCCTGCATCCCAAACCCTGCTCCGTGCTGAGCTGTGGCAGAAAGGCTGCCTGCACCCCCAGCCCCGTGTCCTGAACCCCTCTCTGTGCTGAGCAGTGCTGCAGAGGCCACCTGCACCCCGGTCCCTCATGCCAGGCCCAGCCACACCTGGGCTGCCACATCAGCACAGGGCTGGGATCGACACCCAAACCCCCTCCAAGCACGGCCGAGCACGAGCTGATTTCTAGAGTCTGTCCAGAAGTGCTGCTGGGGGGCTGCAGGTGGCAGGGGATGGATCTCGGGGGTTGTTTTGGGGTTTTTTTTCTTCCCCACTGGGTTTTTCTGAGCAAGAAACAGCTATGAGCAGAATCTTGCACATGTGTGTGCCCAGGAAAAGTCTCAGCAGAACTGGAGCAGCTGCTGGCAGTGGCCACTGCCACTCCTGCCAGGGGCCAGCCTTGTCCCCTGCCTGTCTGGATCCTGCACTGCATGTGCCTTGTCCATCCATGGACAGTGACACCAGCACAGTGACACGTCCCTGGTGCCAACCCTGCAGGTGTGCAGTGAGCCCACATGCCTCTGGTGCCACCAGAGTGCTGGGTGGCTGTCCCCAGTCCAACTAGAGACTGAAACTCCCACCTGGAGTCCCCTGATGCCACCACGCCACAGCCTGGGCAGGACAAGGAGGTCCCAGCCACTGTGGCTGGCCACGACACTGCCCTGCCACCACTGGGTGCCACATGCAGAGGGACAAGGTGTCCCCACATGGCACCCTCCGCGGGGCCATCTCCGATCCACAGGAACTCCCCCAACGCCCACCACCCTCTGCCAGCACTTGGTGACTTGGCAGGATGTCCCCAGGCACCTCACAGGGCACTGCTGGCCACGGGCAGTGCCACCGCAGGAACACGCCAACGTGCACCCAAGCAGAGCCTGCAGCCTGAGGCCAGGCGCTGTCACCGTGTCACCGCCAGCACCGCGCTGCGCTCCGAGGACGCCGCTGGCCCCGGGTGCCACGCGTGAGGTGGGGCTGGGGGCAGCCCCGGGCTGGCAGCCCGTGCCCGGGTACTCACTGGTGCTGGGTGTGAAGGAGGGGTGGCGCGGGGCTCCCTGCGCGGCGGGCGGCGGGGGCATGCCGGGCGGCGTGGAGCGGGCCTGCGTCTTCACGTCGGCCGGCGAGTCGGGCATGGCGGCGGCTCCGCGTTATCTGCGGGAAGAGGGCACGGCGTGGTGAGCGGCTGTGCCAGGCAGGGCCGCCATTCCCTGGCACACGGGGGTCAGGGGAAGAGGGGGCGCCCGGGGAGGTCGGGCTGGGCTGGGCATCGCCGGTGCCGCTGTGGCACTCGGGTGACGGGGCAGTGCCCGGTGTCCTGTGTGCCACAGGGCGGTGGGGAGGGTGATGGCCCTGCTGTTCATCTGCACAGCGGTGGGGACAGTGCCCTGTGTGGGGACACAGTGCTGGCACCGCTCTGCCCCTGCAGTGCCAGCCTGTGTCACGTCACTGCGGTCACAGCGCAGCACCCTCCTGACACGTCCTGGGAACTCCAGCACCACCCAGGGCTGGCACGGCCCCTGGCAGAGACTGTGGCATCATTACAGCCAGCGTGTAGTGGCAGTGACAAGAGCAGACCCACACAGCAGTGACTGTCCTGCCAGACCCGGGTGGCCCCACAGGGCAGGTCCTGCAGCCCAGGGATCGTGGAGCTCCGGCCACCACCATCACCCCAGCACCGCCACCTCCCCCCTGTGCTGCCACCCCCAAAAAACTGCCAGCAGTGCATTCCTGCACCATCCCCTGCAGACCCGGCCCCACGGCTGCCACGCTGGCCCTGACGGGTGGCCACAAGTGCTGGCAGCTGTGGGGATCTGTCACCGTGCCCGCGCTGCCGCCGGCTCCGGTCAGAGATGGAAGTGCCACCACGGCCATGGGGTCCCCCTGTGCCCAGCACGGTCCCCACCCGGCCTGGCTGATAATCACTAATCCAATATTCATCCTGAATCCGGGGCAGCTGTGGGGACATTAATTGAACCTGGCCACAGCACATTGGCAGGGCTGAGTAAGAGCAGGGCCTGATCCCCACGGAGATGCCATCGGGGTTGTGCCACAGCTGGTGGCACACGGAGCACCAGGAGATGGTGGCAGGGGCCAAAATCTCAGCTGGTCACCCACAGCATCCTTCTGGAAGGTTCCAGCACCGTGGCTGTCCCTCTCTGTCCACAGCCCACTGGAATGCTGCAGTACCTGGATGTGCATGCTCCAGTTCCCTGTTCCCCACTCCCTTCTCCCTGCCCAGCCACAGGAGAAACCCCAAGAACACACAGCTTCCCTCCCCCCAAAACCTCAGCTTCCTTACAGGGCCTGCCAGAAGAAATGGTTTTGAAAAACTTTTCCTTTTCATGGAAATGTCCATCTCTGGGCAAAACCTCTCCAGCCTTCCCGGCTTCCCCCGTCACTCAGGGGAGCAGGATCCTGCTCTGAGCAGAGGATGAGCCCTGAGTGTGCACAGGGTGTGACCCTGTGAGGGGTCACAGCAGCAGCACCTGGATCCCACACAACCCTTGCCTGTATCCCTGTCCCTGTCACACCCCTGGCACCATCCCTGTCCCTGTCACACCCCTGGCACCACCCCTGTCCCTGTCACACCCCTGGCACCATCCTTGCCTGCCTCCCTGGAGTGGTCCCTGCCTGCATCCCCACCCCAGCCCCGGTTCCCCTCGCTGCCCTGACGCCGTGCACATTCCCACACCAAGGAGAAAACATGGATACGTTCATCCTGGCACTGACATGGCTTTTCCACAGCTTCCCAGCAGCAGGAAAGTTTCCATCAAGCTGAGCAAGCACTCAGGGAAATGGGGCCTGGTTCTGGTTTTTCTTGTGTTTTCTTTTTTGCCTTTAAGTTTTACATTTTCCCCGAGGTGTTTGCAGCCCAAACACAGCCAGGCAGGCACAGGAATGGTCCCAAATCCAATGGGAAACAGAGCTTGGAATGCCCAGAGAACCCAACCAGAGCTGTGCCACCAACCCAGGTCCTCTGCAGGGTGGGATGAGCTCCAGGAGAGCAAAGGAGGTTTTGGGGAGCAGAGAGCAGCCTCCCCTCAGCACCTTCAAACAGCAATTCCCCAGCACAACTCCAACTCCACTGGAATTATTTTTCCCTCTATTTTTTTCTCTCTTTGGGGTAATTTGTCCCAGCCGCTCGGGGCCGTGTCTGTTTTCCTCCATCTGGTTTCCATTAGGTCTGTGCAGCCCAGATGAATAAGTAATAATATAAAAATAAAAGGATTAGTATTTTCTCCTGGGCTGGCGGGAGCGGCTGCTCCCCACCCTGCCCCCCGGGGCCAGCCGGACCCCCGCACACCCCTGTGTGACCCCGACCCCCCGTTTGTCACACGGCAGGGTTTAACCCCCCGGGCTGGGTGGCACTGCCACATGGCCAAGCGTCCCAGCGGGCACACACATCCTGGAGCCGGAGGGGCAGCGGCAGTGCCCGAGGGATGGGGCTGGCAGCCCTCCCAGCCCGGCCTTGCTGCTTCCCACAGCCCCAGGGAGCCCCTCCAGCCCCACGAGCCCGGGTTCTGCCTCCTCCCCGGGAGCCAGCGGGATGTGCCAGCTCTGGGATGAGTGCAGCGCCCGGGCCGGCTGCCCTGCTCTCCTGTCCCCAGGGATGGGATGGAGCAGGCTCGGAGCTGCCCTGGATGTGGCCACTGCAAAGCTCCGGCTCCCTGCAGGCAAAGCTTCCCGGGAGAAGAAGGGGTTAAAGGGAATTCAGCGCCCAGCATCCTTCATGCTCTCCAAATGGCCACAAATGAAATCCAGATGCTGGAGGCGACGTCTCCCCAGGCCAGGCTGCCTCCGAAACAAAGGCAGGGAAGCATTCCTGCTCCTCAGCTGCCGCAGCCAGCGGGGCCAAGAACAACTCCCCGATAAGATGGCACGGCCGGAGCTGTCCCAGCTGGAGCAGGTTTGGGAGCGTGCAGTGCCTGAGGCCGGGCAGCAGCGCCAGCCACGTGCACCAGCCCGGCAGAGCTGGTGGGACCTCATGGCACCATCAGCTTCCCTCCTCCCTGAGCCCATCCTGATCCCCTCTTTGGGATCAGCTCCCTCCTCCCTGAGCCCATCCTGATTCCTCTTTGGGATCAGCTCCCTCCTCCCCGAGCCCATCCTGCCTCCCTCTTTGGGATCAGCTCCCTTCTCCCCTGAACCCATCCTGATCCCTCTTTGGGATCAGCTCCCTCCTCCCTGCACCCCCTCCCTGGGGCCAAGGTGACACAGGTGACCGAGGTGACACAGGTGACACTGGCAGCTTGCAGTTCATCCCCAGTTGCACTTGGAGCAGGACAAGGCAGGAGTGCAGCTGAGGGATGCTGACACAAGGTGGGTTTAGGTTGGATATTGGGAAGGAATTGCACCCTGTGAGGGCAGGCAGGCCCTGGGTCCCTGGCAGTGCCAAGGCCGGGCTGGAGAGGCCTTGGAGCAGCCTGGGACAGCAGAAGGTGTCCCTGCCACGGCAGGGCAGTGAGGTGAGCTTTAAGGCCCCTCTCAATCCAAACCATTCCATGCTGATGCTGGAGGGATGCTGCCCACCCATCACTGGGGTGTCCCAGGTGCTCATTTTGGGGACCCAGCCCAGCAGGCAGCAATCCACACCCAGCACAAATGAAGCCCTTCAAAAGTAAATCCAATTAATCAAACTCTGCACAATCTGCACAGGAACCCAGATGCAGCCAGCTCCAGGCCTGCAGGTCACCCCCACGGCATCCTGAGACAGCTCCTGTGCCACAGGCCCAGCTGGGACACCTCCCACCGGCACAATTCCTGGGAAAAGCAGATTTCCCCAGCTCAGTACATCCCAACCAGCTTTGTCTTCCGAGCACCCACTCCCGCAGTGCCAGCAGGTGCCCCACGGGCAATGCTCTCACTCAGCTCCATCACCCCCCAGCAGGTCCCAAGTCCCAGCACAGCTCCACACGGGACAGCAGCACCCACAGCCAGGCTCTCCCCGCACCCCACACCCCAAAATCCCAGTTTTCAAGCCCAAACCAGCTGGCTCAGTGCCACCAAGGCAGTGCCAGCAGCTCCTGCTCGCCCCGAGCTGGCGTGGCCAGGGGTGGGGGATGGGGATGGGTTTGATTTTTCCTCGAAACAACAACAAAAAAAGCAAAAAAAAAAAAAAAAAAGTGCCCTCTCTGTTTTACAAGCCTTCATTTGCTATTGTTTATGTAAACAGGTAAATTGTTTCGTATCTCAATTAAAAACATCTGCCACATAAATGAATACCAATTAACTCATCCTGTTTTTAATTACTCTGTTAATTACACACAGGCAGCAAAAAGGATGGCAGGGGAATAGGGAAAGCATGCTTACACCCCCCCTTCCCACCTTGCTCTTGGCAAGGATCCGAAATGTGCCCAGATAATGATGGATTAAGGTGAAAAGCGTGGCTCGTGGCCAGCTCCGGCGTGGCGGCTCCTGCCGGGGCTCCTGGCACGGGGCTTTCCCGGGACCCTCTGCAGAGGTTTTGGAAAGCCCAAGCCCCGCGGGATGCCCCAAGGCCGGGTGGCACAGCCCCGCTGGCACTCCCGGTGCCAGCCCCGCTCTCCTTCTCCAAACAGGAGACAGCGAAACTTTGGGATGGCGAGAGCAGCGGGGAGGCAGCGCCCCCCGGGACCCAGCGCATCCCAGTGCTGCCCCCGGGAGCCCTCCTGGCACCCAGGGGTGGCACGGGGTGGGTGCCATCCCCGGCGAGGGACCCCGGGCGCCGCCGGCCCCCCCGGCTGCGGGAAGCTTTCCAAGCGAGCAGATGGGGCAGGGAGCGGCGGCGGCAGGAGGAGGAGAGCAGAAAAGGCTATTTTCTCACGCTACATATTTTACAAGTCGAACATTTTGTGCATTTCAGCCCTGCCTGTAAAAGCATCTCGGCCTCAGCCCCGGGACTCGACGGCGGAGCCTGTGAGTCAACAGCGGCTGGCGACGACGTGGCTGCTGGCGGGGGGACGGGCTGGAGGAGGGGTCCCCCACACACAGGGGCAGTTTGGGGGGTTCCCCTGAGCAGCAGGCCAGCAGCACCCAGCCCCAGGGCACAGTACCCGCTGCAGTGTGGTGCCCGCTGCCACCGTCGGATTCATCCCACCGGGGTGGCACGGCGAGGTGGGCACACACACACACACACCCTGCTGCTCCCCAGCTGCCTTACACTCCTGGA